ACTGACATCGATTCTCAGCCATGCGATCCACCTACAGTCAGTCTCCAACTATTTATTCCTCTGGTCCCCCACCCCACCGACCTCAACCACCTAGTCTGCATAACCCACATGGCTCAAACCAACAGTCAAACACTTCATACATTCATGCCATTTTTTAGTCTGCTCCTCTCCCCAAGCTTTTCTCCAGCCTGAACCTACTTTGACCAACATTGTGTAACAAGGTAGATGGTGACTAGGCATAACTAACACATATCCCAACCAGCCATCTCAGTCGATCAAGCTTCACAACCATGTCAACTGACTTACCTCTACCTCTTTTCCCTAAAACTCTACACCTGAGATTGACGTCTGCGTTAGTCACGTGGTGACACCACGGAATACAGCATAGCCTATACTACGAAGGCAGCGGTAGGCAAACACTTTAAGTCTCCTCATGTATTCCACCTTCAATAGCCATGTTACACAGCCATACAGTGGGACACAGTGGGTAACTGTGCAGTACATAAACTAGTGATTGTTGATTTATCTGAAATCTTTAGCAAGCTGGATAACATAATTACTAACATATTCGTTTAAGCAGCTCTCAGTTCTCGAAGCTACTGTGGCAAGTTTTTCAAAAAAAATTCTACAAGTGATATTTCATTCGATTACTGATGAATTCAATATAATCTAAAAATGATTTTATCACTCACAGAAGTGATATTTTGTATAACATAATACTCAAAAACAAGATATTCAGCGAAGAGGACTCTTTTCAACGAATTTCTTCTCAAGATGTACATTCGTATATATACATTTGATATTTAAAGACTGTAGTCCATGACGAAGATTTACCTTGAATAATGGAAGGTTGAAATAAGAATCATGGTGGTTGTGATAATCATAATAATAACAGTAGTAAAGATGGACCTATCCATCCAGATCAACCTACGACCAGGCACAACTGCGTAACGGTCCGAGTTGCCGCCACACCTCATATCAGTACATCAAGTAAAAAGGCAGGGAGGCGCAAGATGAAGAAACGAGAATGCAGTGAGAAGAAATATAAAGTGCCAAAAGAGGGAAACTAAGAATGAGAAGGTGGTGAGATTCGATATAGCGTCGTTAAGATAGGGTTAATGTATGCATACATCTGCGCCACTGACATCGGTTCAGAGCCATATCCCCTAAAGTCTCCAACCACTGGTTCCTCTTGTCCCGCAGACACCAACCACGTAGTCTGCATCGTCCCACATGGCTCAAACCAATAGTCGGAGACTTCATACATCGGTGCCTTGTTTCAGTCTGGCCACCTCGGACCTAGTAAAGATGGATATTGGTTAGCGGTGGAATTCAGGATACGAACTTCGTCCTATTTGGGCATCGGCAGCTGAGTACACCTACCACCTCCTCGTGAGTGATGTTGTCCCCACCGGGACTCCAACTCAGAAGCGATCACTTCAATCACCAGAGCGTTATCCACTACACCACCGAGCCACGATAGTCACCAATCAATTCGGTCCAATCAACGACGGTATAATACAAGCAATAAGACACAATAATAATGTTGCTAGTTGATGATGTACAAGTTGAATGGTAACAAAACGGGGTCACGTAAGATTTTTATATGGTTTATAAGGTGCATATAGATTACAAAGGGGTGGAAACGTGACAGATTTAATAAACAATTAAAGGTGATTAGGTAATTTATATGAGACAACAAGTTAATTGGAATAAATTGAAAATGGTTTATTAAAAGCTGCGATTATCAGGGAGATTAAATGAAGTAACACTGGAAAATAAAAATGATAATTCTAGGGTAGAAAGATTAACCTAACAAACGGAGAAGTTGAATAAATAAAAAAGGAACGAAGGACACCAAGACCGTTAAGACCAACGTAGAGATAAACGCTGTGCATACTTCTTTCGAACACAGAGGTTAGGCTTCAGTTTAAAACCACCATCCAAGCTGATTTGCTGATAAGAGTATGCAAGAAAGACATGCGAAACTAGTCATCAGCTTAGTTACTAAAATGACATTGTTCATGAATCTGGAGTTTGAAAGTGATATAGGACCAGACATCCTGAAAAATCGTCTTTCCAGATCAATTTTTAGGACATTTTTTTCACCCAAACTTCATTTGATCTTTACTTGTCGTAAATTGTTCTCTGTTTGTGTAAAAGACAATATCCTTCGACAGACCACCTTCATGTGTATCTACCAGTTCACCTGCTTCTATTCAGCATGGTACATTGGTCGTGGTCAAAGATTGATGTCTACATGTATAAGGGTGAAAGAAAATGCATTAGAAGTACTATGTTTGAACATTTAACCGATTTCAATCATTCAACCGACCAAAAAAATAATTTTAAGGCTGTTTATCGAATTCGCTCAAACATTTCATGTTTCCTCTGTGTTCAATTTCTAAAAACAGCAGAGACCTTGGCTATCCATGAAGTGAAGTTTGAACTTTGTGTACAAAAGAAGTATGTACAGTCTTTGTCTCTACCTTAGCCTTAATTTATTTTAGTCTTGGTGTGGTTCGTCCCCTATTTTGTCTTTTCAATCCAACCCCCTTTTGTCAGAATAATCTTTGTACTCTAACATAGTCATCATTATTTTATTTTAATGTTGAACAGTTTACGGTGTTACTTCATTTAATCTTCCTGATAATCGCAGCTTTTAACAAACCATTTTCAATTTATTCCAATTAACTTGTTGTCTCATATAAATTACCTAATCACCTTTAATTGTTTATTAACTCTGTCACGTTTCCACCCCTTTGTAATCTATATGCACCTTGTAAACCATATAAAAATCTTACGTGACCCCGTTTTGTTACCATTCAACTTGTACGTCATCAACTAGCAACATTATTATTGTGTCTTATTGCTTGTATTATACCGTCGTTGATTGGACCGAATTGATTGGTGACTATCGTGGCTCGGTGGTGTAGTGGATAACGCTCTGGTGATTGAAGTGATCGCTTCTGAGTTGGAGTCCCGGTGGGGACAACATCACTCACGAGGAGGTGGTAGGTGTACCCAGCTGACGATTCCCAAATAGGACGAAGTTCGTATCCTGGATTCCACCGCTAACCACTATCCATCTTTACTACTATTATTATGATTATCACAACCACCATGATTCTTATTTCAACCTTCCATTATTCAAGAATAATCTTCCTCACGGATTTCAGTCTTTAAATATCAAATGTATATATACGAATGTACAGCGCTGGTGTTGTTTTCACTACTGACAGAAAATCTATTTTTATTACTGCTTCACTTTTCATTATATTTCAATCTGTACAACTTTCAGCCATTCATTCTCTTTTGATTGTTAATCACTGATTGGTATTTCCGCATCCGATGATGTGCATTTGTGATCATCGATTGTACTATTTGTCTTCCACTTTGTTCAGCTATTTTCCATCCTATTAGACAGTTAATCGCCGATCTATATCTGACACTCTTCAGCAAAATATGTTGATGTAGGAACTCATGGAGAAAGAATAGTTGTGCATTTGTGTAAGCTTGCCTTTGGAAGAAGTCCTCTCATCTTCAAACAACGTGAAGCGTGTTACGCTCGTATGATTTTGAAATGGTGGAGAATATCTGCAGATCAGGCGATGATCTTTGTTGTATTGTGTTCTCTGAACTGGGTTGTTTAATGGTGGAGAAACTTTCATTGTCTTTCTAGACACAGACACCATCACCATTAACTTCCGTATGAAGTAATAAGCTGTCAATGTCTTTCCGTGCGTGAGTGATTTGGTAGCTTGCCCTGACAGACTGGTTTGTGATTGGTTGTTTCCTTTGATTCTTGTGTCATTGACTGTATAGATTTTCCCAATGGCTGTCCCTCTGTTTGACCTCTCACCTATCTGTTGTTTACCATTTTTCTCAATATTTGGTAGATTGGGTTTATGTCTACATATCTGTCGATTGCTAACTGACTGACCTGAATGCCAAGCTTCTAGGAATTCTCTCTTCGTCCAAGATTTCTACATTGTCGAAATTGAATTCATGTCCATAGTTATCCACATGCATTGACATAGACCCAATCTACCAACCAATGAGATTAATGATAAACGACAGAAAGGTCAGATGTCAAGCGGAGGAACAGACAACAGGAAAGTCTACACAGTCAATGGCACAACAATCAAAGGAGACAGCCAATCAAAAACCAGTTCATCAAGTTAAGCTACTGAACCACTCATAGAGAGATGTTGACAGCTCATTACTTCATATGGAAGTTAGTGGTGATGGTGTCTGTGTCTAGAAAGACGATGAAAGCATCTCCACGACTAAACAACCCATTTCAGAGAAAACAATACGAACAAGACACAAATACACTGTTTGCTGACAAAGATAATGGACACGGCATTTCAGATGACTTTATAAGTCGACTGGTTCCTCAAATCTACTTATATCAATGACACCATATAGTGATGATCACCTATCAATCATTGTAATATAGTTTCAGATTAAAATAATTCGATGAAGCTGTGATTTATATTAGACAGAAGAATAAAGTTCATATGTCATTTAGATATCTGCTGATGATCATGATGATGATGAGAAGTTAAACCAAATCAGACGAGTTACAAACACCTGACACATGCATATGAATTAAGCCAACTAGAAAACGAAGACATCACCTAACTCCCATCATTCATATTTCAAAACAGAGTAATACAGACAGAATTTTCAGTGCTCTTGGCTTTGATAACCGATGTATACTTTTTTTATTCCGGTAAGTGAGTTGATAAAACGCTATCCTCCTTCGATTAAAACGTATTTCAACGTCAATAAAACATTAAATTGAACAATGAAATGATAAATGTATTCATAACACAAACACGAAAATTAGGATGTACATATTATATCAAGCTAACTGTCATAAAAAGTCAACATTCCTTACAACTCAAACTGGACAACAGTTAACCCGGTAAACAATCACCTATGCGTGAATTCGACTCCAAATGTAATTCCAGTTGAATTTTGAAATTATCATCTCATGATAAATGACTGAAAACTGATGTTTTGGTCAATCGAAAGTGTGTAAATGAAAATCTGGAAGCACATAGAAAGCCATAAAAGTGGGAACACATTGTATCATATGTTTCGCATACTGGCATCTCTATTGAATACTCAATGTAAGTTATGTTACTTATATACAAGACCTTGTTTCGATTGTTCACTTTCTATCCCCTCACCATTTCAAATCACAGTCTAACTAAATCAGCATGCTTCACTTGTTCACCCTGTTGTGCTGACGTGTCGACCACTTTACTTACCTGAGAAGTAGGATCAACCCTACCCTGGTGGGTCAGTGACAGATGAAATCTCTACACCGATACAAAAGTCCGACTGAATTTGCCAACTTACGCCACCGTGATGTCCGATTGTCTATTAAGGGTGGCGTGTAATGCACATCAGTGCACTCTGTTCTACTATATGGCTGTGAAACATGGACATTGAAGGTGGAAGACATGAGAAGATTTCAGGCGTTTTACCTTCGTTGCCTTCGTAGTATAGGCCAGGCCGTATTCCATGGTGTCACCAGGTGAATAACCCAGAAGTCAGGCTCACCGTAGAGATGAGTCAGTTGACACGGTTGTGAAGCTTCATCAACTGAGATAGCTGTCTGGGTTATGTGTTACGTATACCTAGTGGCCGTCTGTCTCATGACATAATGATGGCCAAAGTAGGTTCAGGCTGGAAAATGGCTCAGGAAGAGCAAACTAAAACGGCATGAATGTATAAAGTTTGACTGTTGGTTTGAGCCATGTGGGGCGACGCAGGCTAGCCAGTTGGCGTTGGCCAATCCCTAGGATTAACTTACAATATTTTTATATTATCATTGTAAAGTTTAAGCCTTATTTTCGCGCCCTTTTTGCGGCATGTTATGTTTCTTATTTTTACCGCAGTTTAGAATGCTAAACGCTGATTGGTCCGTTTTACACTTTCAATATGCTATTTCGTTTTCTCTGCCCAGAGCCATCTAAGAATATATAAACGACTGACTTTTCACTTATTCAATTCGGTTAGAGTAAACAGATTTTCAGTCTCATCGTCTTCTTCTGGTGTCAGCTGAATATCGAGTTGAGGAGTCATTGTTATGTCGTTAATCGTATTCGTCTCGGAGCGTTGCATCGTTATATATAAGATAGCGTAGGGTCATAACAGTTGGAGTCCAGTGGAGACAAGAGAAACCAGTAGTTGGAGACTGATAGTAGGTGATCGCATAGCTGAGAATCGAAGTCAGTGGTGCAGATGTATACACACATTATTCTCATCTTAACGATACTATATACCGAATCTCACCATTTTTTTCATCCTTGCTTTCTCTCTCTCTCTCTCTGAGTACTTTATGTTCCCCTTGACTGAATTTTCCTTTCTTCATTTTCCACTTTACTGACTTTCTACCTCATGTGGTGATATGAACTGTGGCAACTCGGACCATAACTCAGTAATGCCCGGTAGTATGTTGATTTGGATAGATGGAGTTTGCAGTGAATTAGACTCCGCTTAACAGTTATCAATCTTAAGACGGATTGACTCTCAACTAGACAAGTCCGTCACCGTTTAACTTCTTCAAAGATGCATTATTGTACGTAAATTTAGGTATGTCTGACTTCACTGAGACCGATGTGAACTCTCCGGAGGATATCCAGTTAACTTCCATTACGCAGGCAAAATTTTCCTGCTACGTGAAGATACTTATAAAAATGTAGACTCTTCTGAACGCCTTTAATAGAAATCTCACTGAGTTTGGCATGCATTTTCCTGGCACTGATCAAATGTAAGACTATCCTTCTAGACCGGTCTGCAATCACTTTTAGTCTAAGGATACGCAGTGAAGTGGCAGAATCCGTTAGCCGCTTGAATTGCATCAAAGCAGACGGGTTAGTTACTGACGAAATCTCAGCCCGGTTTTAAAACATCCGTTTGGGAAATTTATCAACTTCCATCATCTCCAACGTTGATTGGCGAGATATCCAACTACCTGTTAAAGGATGAGTATACTGCAGTGTAGTCCGTCCTGTCCTGCTATATAACTGAGACATAGCTGTTGAAAGTAGAGGATATGAAGAGAATACAAGTCTATGGACATAGGTGTCTTCGTCATGTTAGGAAATGTAGAAGTCAGTTGAAGGTTACTAGGCAGAGAACCTTCAGCGATTAAGACGGCTAGGAAATGTGTTACTCATGTTGATCTACCGCCTACCTCGACGTGTATTGCAGTGCTAGGAGAAGTTGGGTCAAGTTAGAAGAGGGCTGTTATTGGTGGCTCCAATGTATGAAGTATCTGACTGTTGATCTGACCTATGTAGATAAGTGTAGACTGCGTAGTCCTCGAAATGATAGGACGATTTCATTATCAGTGATTTCCAAATTTCTCACCCTTCCATACACAGTTCTGTGTAAGATTCTACATCGATTTTGTCGGTCAGTTTTGCACAAGTTCGTCAATAACTAGCTAACATTTATAAGGTTCAATACTTCCACTTAGAAGTAGATCTATTCTCTCGTTACATAACAAAAGGACATTTCAAAGAAAGTAATCATAAAAATTATCTTTACAACAAGCATACACAATACTGCTTGAAAATATCTTAAGTGATCTATAAGAAAACTTATTTTATGCATTACCAAGTGTTATTTGTTTATAGAAGAATCTCCTGTCTATTTGAATACAAAACAAGTTTGTTCAAGTGATGTATAAAACAATTGAATAGAAAATTACAGTTGAGATTATGTTTTATAAAATGAAATCTCATGTAAAAACTTTAATATCATTACTGACCGGTAATTCATTTGACTGTTTCACGGTGTCTAGGTATACTGCTATGAGACAATAGATCTTCACCAGAAATCCATAAACGATCAAAATCGATTACAGTTCTAAAACAGAAAATATATGTAACATATTTTTTCAAACGTTTGTCATTCTTTTATAAATTTCAATACATCAGAAATGTGATTTGACTAAAACAACTGGAAGATAATAATGACTTTGAGATGATATAAAATATTTGTAGATTATGAGGATAATTTTGATGGTACAGTGTTCTCTGAGCTGGACAATTTAATCGTGGAACATTCATTATCATTCTAGACAATATTATCAGCACAAACATCAGAAAAAAAGTGAACTGTAAGGTTTTCTCTACAATTTGTTTAGTAGCTCCTCCTGATGACCTTACGTGTGATTGGTTGTTTCTGTCAAGGTCATGTCGTTGTTTTCATCTTCCTTTGATTGGTTATCCTGATTTTAAGCCATGAGGACAAGCAACAAAATAATTTCTGAAGAAAACCTTATAGTTGATATCTTAAACAACACAACACTATCAATAATGATGCTGTTATTGTAAAACCTGGCTGCCTACTATAACCCATGATCTTCTTAATTGTGGTGGACTGGATCATGCAGCAAACAGTGAGGAGCGACAAGACGGGCATATGCTGGACCGATGAGAAGACCCTAAAAGATTTGGATTTCGCCGATGATTTACGTTTCATGTCGCACAAACTCGAAGATCTACAGGCGAAAAGTAACGAGTTGTCAGAAGAGATGAGGCAGCGAAGATGGGACTTCAAGTGAATGCAGAGAAAACAGAGATGATGGAGATACCCGACGAACAACAGCATCAACAACAACCACCAATCACCATCAACGGAAGAAACCTAAAGGAAGTAGTCTCTTTCACCTACCACCTACCTAGGCAGGCAACATTGTTTCAACTACAGGCATCGCGACAGGCACAGATGAGGATGTCAATGCAGCCAGGATCAAAAAGACAGCAAGACGGGCTTTCGTTAATCTGAAATCAGTGTGAAGATCTACTGCACCCAGCATAAAGCATGAACAAGATCCAGATTTTCAACACCAATCCAGCCAAGTCAGTGCTGCTATATGGTTCATCCAGAGAGTTGGCGTGTCATGAAAAGCATTTCCAGCAAACTACAGACATTCATCAACAACTGCCATCTACGCTCACTCCGTACTCAAGATCAGCGGGCCAGAATAATAAGAATAAGCAACAAGGAACTCTGGCTCGCTGACAACGAACCAACCAACAACTTATCGCCCAACAAATATACAGGAGAGAGTGGAGATGGATTAGACATACACTGAGAAGACTATGTGGGGACATCACGCGCCGAGCCAGGCACTCGAGTGGAACCCAGATGGGAAACGGCGAGTCGGACGTCCGAGGGTGACATGGAGGAGATTGTGTGAGAAAGAAATGAGAGCTTATGGGCAGTCGTGGCGCCAGGTTCAAAAGATTGCAGAGAAGAGAGTGGAATGGAGACGTGCTGCTGAAGCCCTATGTTCCGCTAGGGACTTAAGCGACAAGTAATAATGATATCATTATGTGTAAACTTGTCATTACATATTAATTTATACAGTGACAATCTATTCGATAATGAATGAACTTTCATTGTTGTAATTAACATATGTTAACTCGAACGACTGATGTCATAATATTGATTCATATTGAAGAGGAAAAAAAAGGAAAGTATTATACCATAGTGAGTTGAATCAACTTGAATGGGCTGGTTCCTAACTAAATCTCAGTTCAGACAGAAAAGTCCCATTTGGAATTTGCTAATTCGCATCCTCTCTGTTACTGATTGGCAAGATATTCGACGGCCTATTATAGGATGAATATTGTACGCCGCAGTTCGCTCTATCCTGTTATACGGCAGTTAGACATGGCCGTTGTAATTAGACGGTATGAAGAGACTACAGGTTTTGACCATATGCGTCTTTGTAGCATAGCTTGTGTATAGTGGAATTACCATGTGAGGAATATTGACGTCAGATGAAGGGTTTAGGGAAGGAATAAAAGTCAGTCTGTAAAGCTATGAACCTTCATTTACTAGGTTGGCTTAGACAAATAATGTGCATGCTGAGCCACCGTCTACATCGATATCTAACGCTACCAGAAGGTGGATTAGGCTGGAAGAGGATTCAGGGTGTTCAGACTAAGACCTGGCACTAGTCGATGAATTTTCTGACTGTGGGCCTGAGCCGCGTCGGGAGATGTAAACTGTCTGCACTGAAATCATTTATATGTTTCACTTACAATAGCCAAAAGTATCCCTTAGTGTAAGACGGTATGAACCGTCATACTTTAAAAGCGACGGATGATATACAAAGATGTGATCGACCCCTAGCCGGGTCGTGGGTGCGTACTGCTGAGGAGTCCTGCACTTGGACGAAGCAGCTGTCCAGTGTTCCCAGGTTTCCGATGGCTCTCTAATTGATGTCAGTTCGTGGTGAATACTACCTCAAAATTAAAATCCCCATTAACCTCAAAATACATTGCTGTATAGTCCTAATTACTGACATGCTTCTAGATGGATATCCCGAAGTTGTAATGACAAGCCGTGACCCGTGTGGTGGACCAAGACGGAAGGGAAGTAGATGCTAACTGAAGACCTTAGGTGGTAAGTCGCACTGTATCGAAAATTGATAGAAGTTGGAAAATGTGAAGCATTGAACTCAACCCGACTCAGTGACTGGATGGTTAACGCGTTCGCCGTGAAACCTGAAGGTTCACAGTTCGATCCCTGGTGAGGTGGTGGGCGCATACTACTGACGAGTCCACCACAAGGACGAAACAGCTGTACAGTGCTGTTCAATGCTTCTCCAACTGATGTCAGTCCGTGATGAATATCACCTTGTAATATAATCACCGTTTGAAGGGTACTGAAAAGTACGTACGAATGAGTCATAGTAAACAATATATAACCGAAGTAACTGAATAATACTCGATTGGGGATTTCTCCTTAACAACTAGAAGTCGTTATGGTACCCACATAAATTTGATACACGACCATGAGACTATTCACTGAAAGTATTGTCCCTATACTACCGAAAGACACAGAAAACGACAAAACGAGGAAGGCAGAAAAGGTGGAAGTTGTGCTAAGATTAGTTCTATTGTCGTTCTTTGGTGGGATCGACTATGACTCTTTGAGTAGCATAGATCCACTCTATAGTTAAGTATCAGGGCGTCAATGTGGAAAAGCTCTACACTATGCGATTAAGCGCTGCCGCGTTTGCATTTCTGGCTCGTGAAAACTGGAGATGTTTTGTGCGCCGAAGATTACAGGTAAAGCCGAGTTGCTTATGACGGTGAGCCTTCTTGTGGCCCCACTAAATATCAACCAACACACCTTCAATCTGACTTAGCGAAAAATGAAGTCGAAGTGATCCATAGGCTTAAGACCAGTGCCTCTGGTCTCCAAACCTCGAAATGTTCTGTCAATGGTCAGTGATCTCCAAAGGGCACTGCAGCATCACAACCGAAAGGTAGGGTCAATCTGGCCTTCTAGTTACGTAGTCATTACCACTGTCACTGACTAACAAAATCAATGAAGAACCTGTCACACAAGTGCATCGTCTTCAGTTGACACATTTCACAGAAGTACATAAAAAACAAGTGGATAGAAAAGGCCTGATATCAAAGATAAAGCAGTGTGATATACAAGCTTGACTACCACATCAAGGTCATCATCATCAATATCAACATAAGACCAGGCATTACTGCGTAACTGTCTGAGTTGCCACCACACCTCATATCACTACATCAAGTAGAAAGGTAGTGAGGTGGAGGATGAAGATAAGAGAATGCAGTCAAGAGAAATATAAAGCATGAGAAGAAAGAAAGGAAGAATGACAAACTGGTGAGATTCGATATAGCGTCGTTAAGATGAGGATAATGTGTGTGGGGATACATCTGCGCCACTGACATTGGTTCCCAGCCATATCACCTAGGGTCTCCAACCACTGGTTTCTCTTGTCCCCACACAAACCCCAACCACCTAGTCTGCATTGCCCCACATGGCTCAAACCAACAGTCAGAGACTTCATGCATTGGTGCCATGTTTTAATCTGGCCACCTCGGGCCTTTTTCCAGCCTGCACCTACTTCCACCAACATTGTGTGACGAGGCAATCGGTGACTAGGCATACATAGTACGTGTCCCAATTATCTCAGTCGATGAAGGTTCATAACCTCGTCAACTGATTTACCGCTACACCCTAAAACTCTATATCTGACTTTTGTATTACTCACATGGTAACACCACCGAATACGGCCTAGCCTACACTACGAAGGCAACGGTGGTCAAACACTTGAAGCCTTCTCATTTCTTCCACCCTCAATGGCCATGTTTCACAGCCATACAGTAAAACAGAGAGGACTGCTGTGCAGTATACGCCACACTTAATAGACAATCGGATATCACGGCAGCGCCATAGGTGGTGTAAATTGGCAAAAGCTAATCGAGTCTTTTGTATCCGTGTAGAGATTTCATCGGCAACTGACACCCCGGGGCTGATCCTACTTCCCAGGTAAGTGAAGTGGTCGACACACTCAACCACTTCACTCTCTATTGTTAGCCGTGGTACAGCTGAAGACCAGTCCTGGAGCAAAAATTTGCATTTGGGTGGTGAGAACCGTATCCCAAACATTCTCAAATTCCCACTCAAAGTGTTCAGAAGACTCTACATCTTGTCAGCGTCTTCATCACATCAAGGTACCAGTTATCGGTCTGTCAGTCATTGTTGTTGAAGCAATCTCTAGAGACGGGTGTTTACCCCGTGCACGCGAGCGATATTTGGCCCAGAATCCCTGCGTCTTTAGCCCTAGTTTTGGCTGTATTTCAGTAGCCCAAGGGAAGCCATCGCTGTGAATTTGTCGGTATTATGGGTTCACTTACCAAACCTCTAGAGGGAATGCCTCTTCTGGAAGGTGAAGTGCATTCAATATGCGAGGTTGTGAAATTTTCAGTAAGATGCGCCCCAAGCACATCTGCCCACGAGGAGGCAATAACGACCAACGAACCGACTACCTAGCAAACGTGGATGTGTTGAAACCTGACATTTGGAAGGGTTCTGTGATAACAATGATCAGTTCTAAAGGGTGTTAACAAAATGTTCTGATAGGAGCGGTTGTTTTCATATGGATGCGTTGTTTGGGTGCCTCCTACGAGGTAAAGGGACAGATTTGTCATAGATTCATAGATCTGAAAACCGGCCTGGAAATTGAAGCTGAGTGAAAATCGGAGTGAAATCTTAGATAGTTAGTTTGTCTACGTTCGAGGGGTGACACATCTAATCACATGGTATAATCAACAGATTCATCTTACATATTTCTGATAATGGTATTACAAATGAAAATGGTGTGCTCATTTGTCATTTCACATCTGTTTATACGAGGAACACCCAGAAACTTCCATTAGAAACATCCTAAAGACTTTATATTTTTCATATCACCTATTCAGTAGGACTAAATTACTTCCACAGTCTAAATAAAACAATGAATAGTCAATTATTAATAAGAAGCTTACTCTGCTTCAAAACACCTTGATACGGATGGCTTACGTAGACCACCCCGTTTTGAAACATATGATGGATCCATTTTTATAATTGTAACATCAGTTGTTTCATCATCAGCAGAAACAGGGACTTCGTTAATATCTGCTTCAACCTCTACGAATTGAATCAACCTAAATTTATGTGCAATTACGTTTACCTTATGTGTGCATAACCCACCTATTCAGTTGCTTTTCCCAAGACGTTAGTTTTCGTAATTTTTTCTTTGTACGTTTTGTTTTATTACACTTCATTTGTATTGTTTACAAAACTATAAAATACTATTTATTAGCTTTATTTATCATTTTATAATGCTATCAACTGAATATCGTTATCTCCATAAGCTTAACATGACAAGGAAGAAAAGTGTGGAAAACTAGTATCAGTTATCAGCTAATTCATTGGATGTACGAAACGAAACGCACTCAGTCAACTTTTTCACATCTGTACAGTAAGCAATTAACTACACCTATTACGTGATGACTAGTGATACTACCTGGCTCATCAAACTTCAGTAGGTGGGGGCGGGTTCGAGCCCATGACCCACTGGTTAATAGTTATCTTCCTGAACCATTGAGCAACAGCCCGACTCGTCCGATGAAAACTTTATGACTAAGATTGTATAAAAATGCTGATAACTTGAATATAATTTACACCACAAAATTTAGACATCAAGGCAATAAGTTTGAGTAGATAAACAACCACATGACTTTTAATCACAATACTGTCAACCTTCGAGAAAAATGAACAAAAACATCATAAGCATCTAGATGTTCCCAAATAAGAATGGATCCTGTCTGATTATGTAATAATCTGAAATATATTCAGAGCCAGGAGCCTTCTTTTCAGTATGTATGACAAAGTATAACTGTAGTTGAACAATGTTTATAGTCCCAATATTTCAGACCAGCATTATTGACGCGGTGTGATGGTTGAAAATGAAGACCTATGTCACGACAGGATTCAAACCAGTGGTCTCTGAGTTACAGCCCAGTGCTTTAATCATTAAGCCACGAGACCCAGTTGACGATAAAATCTTAACTTCACGCTAATCAGCGACTAGTTCTACCCGGCTGTCAAATGAATCTGCGATACATCACCATTCGATCATCGTCATCACAGTGATCTGTCGTCTCACTCCAGACGAAGCTGAATTAGAGAGGTGGAGCGTCATAATCATTATTAGTGACACTATCTGAGATAGCTGTGGTTTGACGGACAGCAGTTATTCAAGTAGTGTCCGGTATGGATGTCTGTCACATTTATTATTTAACTCCGCCACAGACGTACTAATGGACATAACCCTAGCTAAGTTCGTCTTCACAGGGATCAAAGTACACCGTGGAGGTCATCTGACTGACTTAGAGTATCCAGACGATATTGTCCATCAGAACAAAATAGGAGACATCGAGCAACATACCTGAAAGATCGGGCGTGGAAGAACACCGGAACTCTTCGAAAGAGATGTGGAAAGAAACCTGCATAACCGCATTAGGAAGGAAGAAGAAACAAGACAAGGAGGGGATCTCGACGAACACATGGAAGCTGATAGAAGAGAGCAAGATGGTGAAGCAGAAGATGAACCAGTGCAAGGATGCACAACGAAAAGCAGAAGTGAGTACAACGTATACAACACTAGACAAAGAAGTAAAGAAGAATGAGCGCAAAGACAAAAGACACTTCTACAACACACTGGCAAATGAAGCAGAACAGGTTGCCGGCTGGTAGGAGAGACCTGATAACACTATCAAATAACCAGGTTATGAGAAGAGGTCAACACAGATGAAGCCAGTGAAAAATAGTGAAGGAAAGCTAGTCACCAAAGAGGAGAAATGAAGGAAACAATGGGCTGATCACTTCAAAAACTTCTTGAATCAACCACCACCACAACCACCAACTCATCCACAAATAACACCAGCAGCCACATAACTACCAATAAACATAAGCCCTCCGACAAAAGCAAAGTCCTTAATGCCATAAAACTGCTGAAATTCGGTAAAGCAGCAAAACCAGATGGAATTCCACAAGAAGCACTGAGAACAGATGCGGACACAACAGCGGACATGATCAAACCACTACTGCAGAAGGTTTGGAAGGAAGGAAGGAAAGGTACCTAACGACTGATTGGAAGAAGGGGTACTATGTGAAACTCCCAAAGAAGGGAGACCTAAGTCTTTTCAAGAACTGGCGCGGAATCATGCTGCTGTCTACACCAAGCAAAATATTTTCCCGCATCATCCTGGAGAGACTGAAGGAGGCGCTGGATTCAAAACTACGACCGGAACAGGCTGGCTTCAGGAAGAACAAATCATGTGCGGACCAAATTGCAAGGCTACGCTACGCATCATCATAGAACGGAGTATAGAATGGCAGTCAACTCTCTACCTCAGCTTCATTGACTTTGAAAAGGCCTTTGGCAGCGTTGACCGAGAAGTAATTTGGTAGTTGCTTCAACACTACGGAATACCACAAACCTTTACCAGCCTCATTCAACAGCTATATGAATATGCTACACGCCAAGTAATTCACAATGGAAGCTCAGTGATGCTTTTGAAGTGAAGACAGGAGTAAGACAAGCCTGCCTACTATCACTCATGATCTTTCTGATTGTGGTCAACTGAACTGAACTGGATCATGCAAGAAACTGTGAGGAGCGTGAAGAAGGGCATACGCTGGACCGATGAGAAGACCCTAAAAGATTTGGATTTCGCCGATGGTGATTTATGTCTAATGTCTTGTCGCACAAACTCGGAGATTTACAGGCACAATCCAACAAGTTGACAGATAAGGTAGGGCAGCGAAAACGGGACTTCGAGTGAACGTAGAGAAGACAGAGGTGATGAAGATACCCAACCAACAACAACAACAATTAGCTCCAATCACCATCAACGGAAGAAACCTAAAGGAAGTAGTCTCTTTCACCTATCTAGGTAGCATCGTCTCAACTACAGATGGCACAGACGAGGATGTCAAAACCAGGATAGGAAAGACAGGCGTTTATTAATCTGAAATAATCAGTGTGGAGATCTACTGCACTCAGAATAAAGAGTGAACGATATCCGGATTTTCAACACCAATCCAGCCAAGTCAGTGCTTTTGTATGGTTCGGAAACTCGGCGTATCACGAAAAACATTTCCAACAAACTACAGACATTTGTCAACAGCTGTCGCCTACGCTCGCTCCATACTGGAGATCAGATGGCCAGAATAATAAGAATAAGTAACAAGGAACTCTAGTTGGCAACGAACCAACCAACAACCTATTGCTCAACAAATATCCGGAAGGAAATGGAGATGAATTGGACATGCACTGAGAAGACCATTCGGGGATATCACGCACCAAGCACTCGAATGGAATCCGAAGAGAAAACGACGAGTTGGGCGTTGAAGGCGAGGGTGACATGGAGGAGATCGCGTGAAGAAGAAACGAGAGCCTGTGGGCAGTCGTGGCGTCAGGTTCGAAAGATTGCAGAGAAGAGAGTGGAATGGAGACGTGCTATTGAAGCCTTATGTTCCACTAGGAATGTAAGGGAGAAGTAAATAAGTTCGGACGGTGCAAGATTTTTCCTTACACATGACTACAATGACCCTTAAGCTAATGGATGATCCAGAGATCCGTTTGGAATGTGCTCAGAGACTTCTCAAAACCGGAGATTCTGTCCCAGTACACTCTGCTGGGAATGAGTACTAAGTCAGGATTTTTTAAACATACGTTTCACAGGAATATTAGATAAAGTTTACAGGATTTAGGGGTTGGCATTTCATTGTCGATAATTAAATCACCCTATCATTACATCAAAAACAGAAAACTAAACAGAAGGTGAAGTGAATATGACTACTCAAGGAAATTGACACGACCTAAGTAAACGCTAGTATGAAGAGTTGGAAAAATCATTAGAAATCTAAGTTCATTTATCTATATTAACTACCATTTACCTACACTGAAGCTTAGTACACAATCCTATTACACTGGTCATAATTTTCCGGTGAATAATATTATGTTTAGTCAAGCAATAATTGCTCAGTTGATTCATTCCCTTTTCACCATACCCTGACTAATTATCGCTATAGAACGTCAATTTACACTACATTTTACATTCTTCAACATCATTTTTTTCAGTAAATGATTAACTTTGTTGTAATTTTATTTTATTTTAGAAAGAAGCGTCTTTATATGACTTTTCATATTATACATGATATCCCTGGACGCACGGATATGTACATGTATGCGTATATGTACAGATATGCACTTTCATAGTGATGCAAATATCAAATATATCGCTATATTTTTAGTGAAAGACTTATAAACAATCCTTTGTGAGTGCTGAGTGTACTTATGTATAGAACTTGTTAAGGATCATTTAAAGACATATGACCCCCCTATAGAGTTAAATTGGTGGACATTTTTATTGTATATACTTTTACTCCAAGCAGTCGAAAAACAAGATAAATTCCTGAACATTGTCTAAAAGTCAACATTTACTGTTACTTCATTTCATTTACGTATTAAAAGTTCGAAAGAAAACTGTTTTCTTGTTGGTGTGTTCAAAATGATCTCACAGTTGCTAAAGGAAGGTGACATTCTATATTTCTAGTTTGGCCAGTAAGTTGCAACTGACCAACCTAAGGTGACAAGTATACATAGATAATGATGGGCTACGCGTTACTCTGGTCAGAATGTGCATACTTGTGAATATAGAGTGAAATTAGTCGCATTTATATACAACAGCTGCAGGCGCAGACTAGTGATATATTGAGGAAACATGCACAATTTTGGAAAAGACCACGATAGCAAACAGGATAAAAGGATGTTATGAGGGAACATGCAGATACTAATGAAAATGATAACTAACTGATGCAATTCTGGAAAATCTCCTCACGATACATAGATTGGATGCTACAGATTCTAATATTCTTCAACACTCCCCAAAAATGAGATGGTTTTGAAGACATTTATGACTTTGAGTGGATCTTATTGACTTCATAGGAAAATTAACAGGGCAAACTCGTACTCCAATCTATTCTAATATCTTCACTCCCAAATCACAATTGCCTCAAGGTGCACTCCAAAATTTTCGGGTAAAACACTATCAAAAAGCCTTAGCGCCCCTTTAAAGATCAGCAACATGTCCCCTAAAGAACCCAAACTGTTCCCCGAATTAGTCAAAAGTTGTTAACGTATTAACAACGGGATTGCGCTCGAAGTTATAACTCTTCACTAAAATTCGCTATTCCAGCTTTTAGAAAGCCACACTTTGGAATATTACTCTGTCTAGAATTAGTTTCTTATAACAGGATATATATTTCAATGCTGTAAAATCTTGAAAACACGAAGGTAAAAAGAAACAAAATACTGGCTGAGTCCGCCACCATTTTTCATTTTTTCTGATGTAAATGAACCTACTGATGTCTAATTTCTCACTATAGCTAACCTTATTCGTATACTTTTACATTGATATAGCTGTTAGTACCAAACTTGCATTCATAAAGTAGCGCACACTACGAATTTCTACCAGCGTCCAATATCCAATACAAATAATGCTTTCACTTATAAATCCGGAGGCTTAATTCTTTTTTCGGTTTCACTGCTTTGAGAGTCACGAAAGAATTGGTGTTTTTCTTGAGTATAGCTTTCTATACAGTGATTATCTATTTGAAGCCACACATTTTTGGCATATCGTTGGTTGGGAGTGACACAGTTGCTGATAAGGTCAATTAGTATTTTTAACTCCTGTTTTTGTGAGCGCCTCCAAGTAAGTAGTAGGTGTCGCTGAAAATAAAGTGCTCCATATAGTGTCAGTGGGGAATGAGAAAAAGAGGAATGAAAAGTACTTATGGAAAAATAAGTGTTATTGGCAATTATGTGGAGGAAGTATGCGTCTTCTCGCAGATGCTAGGGTTAGGGATACGAAGATGGATGAGCACACCTCCAGCTGCTAATGACAAATATTTGTTGTAAGCTGATTTCACTCGCTTCCTTATCCAGAAGTCGTTTGAAGGAGTCGACTGATGTGGCTGTGGCTACTTCCTTCGGCAGAGCGTTCCATAAGACACGCTCCACGTGACAGGAATTTTGCTGTCGCTTTCGTCTTTGGCCTATGGTAGAGCATGAGAGTGGCATCCCCGTGAGATTGTCTGTTTTGGGCGGTCCACATGGTGGATGAAATTTTATTCAGTTATTACGTCACCTCATTTTCTTCGATAGCTCACTGTGAACAAACCGAGTTGTCCTAGGCGTTAGGTGTACGTTTTGCCTGTTAGTACAGCAACCAACCTTGCCGCCTTTCTGCGTACCCTCGCGAGATTATTCGTGCCTCTGTTTAGTAGGGTGAGGGGTTATCGCGCTGAATGCCTCCACGTGTGGTCCGTCATCGCTATTAAACGCCATGAAGAACAATTTTGGAGTTAGCGCTCTAAGTTGCCTCCTTAGAAAGTGCATGACGGCGTTCGCCTTTGCCGCAGTTCCCTTACAGTCGTGTCAGTGAAGCTTAGCCCCAGGTACCTCTCCCTGGATACCCTAGGGATTGCTCACTTATTGGGAGATGCACCTGGTATTCATCGATTCCGGTATGTGAAGAAACGTCCCCTTGCATTTGTCCGGGTTGAAGCTCAAACTATTCCCAGCTGACCGAGACTCCAGCTTCAATAGATCCTCTTCGAGTCCTCCGGGATCCTCTCTTACGCCCATTGCCCGTAATGCCAACCACATCAACCTCAAACACTGAGGTTGGTCAAATGGTCACTCATGTCGTATATTGTGAAAAGTGAGTTGCACTAATAAGGGGGCCGCAACTTTTCTGTGAAACCCCACCCACAGCATACGAAAACAGGAATTTCGATTCCACGTCGAAGTTTATGACCGCGTTTCACGTTCATGTATGTGGTGACAGCTTTCTTGATGAAAGACAATCGTTTTGGCGAACAGCTATGGGAAGTGGTATGTTGCACATTAGTACCAAACAGTATCGGCATGTAACTGTGCAAGCTCTACAAAGGCAGCTTCTCACCTTCAGAAAGCCCTCGTTGTTGAGGGTAACCGCGAGCTTGGCTAGGGGGGCTGAAATATTCCTTCTGCTGTCATATACACTGATCGTCAACTGGTTGTCTAGCATCAGGGCCAGGCCAGATCTGCCATGGTCGGGGAAGAAACCATCTTCAGAGGTACCCAGAACTCTGAGATCGACAACCATGGGCATCGACGGTATACTGGAACTAACAACCGACACGTTAGTGGAAAAGTAGACTCATGATGTTAAAGGTGGCAGCGGTTGTCATTAGGATGGGGTTAAATGGAATAGCCGCGGCAATGATCTACAGACTCTTATGCCCCTCATCTGGCAGCAGCGGCGTGGCCCGGATTGGTAGCCATTAGCCCTGAATACCCGGAACTCCCAACCAGCGCACTGCAGACACAGTATGTAGTTAGGGACAACAGCGAGGGCTTTCGCCGTTGTTAAGGCGGACCCAGAACACTGAGACAACAGCCAGTAACTGTCGCTCTTTACGCTTTGGTCACCATTACTGCGAATAAACAAGACGGCGGCTGAATTAGCATTGTCTCCATAACAAATTCGAGAAACGCCATGGGAAAAATCTAACTGGGCTGGTTCCATCATAACTGGCCGGCCAGTCACAGCCTTCGCCACCACACACAATCCCCATACTATAAGAAGCACTTCCGATGGTCTTAACACTAATGTAAGGCAAGACGAAACGGCGGAACTAAAATCTCTCTATTCTTACCTTGCCCCGAAGATTATAGTCCTGACGGAAAGTTGGCTATCACCAGACATAAGCAACGTCCAGACTAGTATATGTGGTGTACGTTCGTTCAGGCAAGACATAGGACATAAGGAAGGAGGCTGGGTGGAAGCGTTTATGAGTGACCATCTCAAAAGTAAAAGAGCCACTGAAACAACTGCCAGAGCTTCCAGACTCTGTCTGGTCCTGCTTTACACTTGAACACGCGAAGTGCCTGTTAGAAGGGTCAAGAAAACCCCCAATAGCAACATGGAACGAAGTCGAAAACCGCATCAAGTAATTTTCGCAGGTAAGAAAATAGGCTATCACCAGGTCATCGCACTTAGGAGTTTGGGCGCCTCAATTCTCAGCATTTGGCACGGCAGCTTCAAGCCGGACGTTCGACCGAAGCTCATTCAACGCCATCAAAAAGGCTTGGGTACACGGAAATGTTGATGATGACACTCGCTGGCGGCCGGGAGGAAAGGAATCTGAACTAGCTTTCTACTAGCAAACGTTCGGGTTCAACTCTCTCTCAGCAGCGATCACGGCATGCTAGTGTTTCATCTAGCAATCAGCAAGCGGCTCCAATAGGGGGATCTCGCCCTTGCCTCTGCTGGAACAAGGCGAACTACATGGCAATGAAACAAAATCCATCAACGGCACCGTGGCCCTGGGGGTATAGTACTTTACTCATTGACCAACACTGGGATACCATTGGGAGGGCTTGTTTCGAAAACAGGCCAGCGGTTACAACAGCACCAAAACTGTGGATCTCATAGCTTAAACTACTCACTGAACGTCCCTTGCAAGCCAAGAGTTAAGCATGGGGAGAACGAGGGGTCTTCAGAAAACATTCATTCCTAGAGCAAACGGCTCCAAGGAATCGATGCGACACCACTGAGGGGTGACAGAAGGTCGTTTCAGACAAGCCTTGCCCAGAAGCTTGAGGAGAACCATAGAAACTCATATCGATTCACTGCGAATTGAAAGCCTGCTGGCCAGGGTGTTTGCGTTATGGAGACTCCGAAAGAAGGAAGACTGCCTGAACTGGAGACTGCCAAAACCTTCGGCAACACCTTCGACACATCACGTTATCTGACAAAAACTACCGACTGTCCGAGCAATCTGAGGCACTACATAGTGTAGAAGAGTGGAAGGGAATGAGGATAACCCTCCCTATGGCCTTCGAAAAACTACAAATGCTCCGAGCAATAAAATTAACGGGATGCAATTATATTCGGCGTCTGTATTGAAAAAATGTGCAGTTCTCATATCAGGTCCACTCTGTAATCCATTTCAATACTTCTTAATAAAACTCATGCTTCTACAAGAGTGGGAACGATCTATTCTCTCTCCCGCTTTGGAAGGAAGAGATAGGCAGAACCTGTAATGCTGCCGACCTGTAGCACTTCTATCAGATTTGTTGAGTGCAATGAAGAGCCAGGTAAATGGCCATGTCAGAGAGTACTTGAGCACGAAGAGGGCCATCAGTCATGCTCAACATGATTTTCGAAATGGTGGGTTGTATACCTCACACCTACTGGCTACTGGTGGTAACTGAATGGCACACTGGGACCTCGAATGCCCTATGTCGTGTGATTTTCCAGGGTTTTGCTAGAGCCTCTGATACAGTCTCAAACACCATTCTCATACACAAAATATCAAGGTTGGGTATCAACGGTCAGGTGCTCTCTTGGCTTCAGGATTAATTAAACGGCAGTGGATTCTGCACAGAAACAGCAGGATTTGCTAACCTCTAGTTCACATACCCCCACTAATAACAATACTACTTCAATCTCCGTAATCCTACATGCAACCTTACTTGCTCCATTTCTCCCCTCTAGCTCTATGATCTTATCCAGTCTCTTGAGGTTTTCCTTATCATCGTTACCCAATGTTAACCAAGGACTTCGAACCGTTCTGCAAAACCTAGAGGCAAGTGGAAAGAAAACAATCGGTTACACTTGCTCACAAAAAGATAGTGAACATTGGATTTTTGCTCACATTTAAATTCTGCCGTTACAAAACGATGTTGAACTGAGTTATATCGTTCTTTCACTTATATCTTGTCTGGAACTAGTGCATATGATGCGTCTAAGTGCACTGGGCTAGCGTGGATTCACGGATGACCAGTGAAGTTGGTGCGCAGGTCATTATCGTTAAATCAGGGAAGGTGAGATATTGCTAATGCGTGTAATACCGTTTTGTCATAATTTCATTCATTATGCATCATATCATTATTGATAGCGGTTAACAAACTGGTAGACCTTGGTACCATTTATGCATAAATTGGTTCATGAAAGCAGATAATAACGAGTGAATAAACATACTTGAACATATGTATCTCGGTTTGTTCATTAAATGCTATTATATTGACAGATTTGACTGTAGACGATAATTACTGGCACCCGACACATGCATTGACAGTCATGTTAATATGAGGTGGAATATCTTCAGGTTTTGGCTACTTTATCGCTTGACAATTTCATAAGTAATTGATTTGCGGACCTAAACCTTGTGCTACTTGAGTTAAATTCCTCGAGATAAGATAAGGTTTGTTTGTGGCATTTACGAGTGTAGTTACTCAGAATGCGATGCAACTTATGTTGAATCAGTCCAAGCCGTAAGGATTTAGTTTAAGTCGGTCTGTGAGTAGTGTCAAAGTCTTAAGCCTATCTTAATAATCATCGGTCACAATGACCCAGGCTTATGAATTCCGTGATATCTTCTAAAGCTTGAATATTTCTGGTAACCGTTATCTCCAGATTGTTTATCGTTTCGCACAACTCCTTTTTCATTGTAATCACTTTTTTTTATCCATATGTTCTTCCTATACTACTGTGAAGTGTGGTAACTTGGACCGATGTACCCGTGTGCAAGGTTCTACTTTGGTTTTGTCTGTCTATCCGGTGATGTACAGATTATTGGCATGACATGAATGTATGAAATATTTGAGTGTTGGTTTGAGCCATGTGAGGCTATGCAGACTAGATGGTTGGGGTCGATGGGAGGCAGGTGGGGGTGGACAAGAGAAACCCGTGGTTGGAGATTGACTGTTGGTGATCACATGGCCGAGAAAGGATGTCAGTAGTGCAGATATATACACATACACACATTATCCTCATCTTCACGAGGTTATACCGAGTCTCGCCATTTTGTCATTCTTTCTTTCTCTCTCTTTCTCTTTGAGTACTTTATATTTGTTTCGACTGAGTTTTGTTTTCTTCATCTTCCACTTAATTGCCTTTTAACATGATGTTGTGATATGAGCTGTACCGACGCGGACGGTAACGCAGTGATTCCTGTTGCTATGTTTATAGATGATGACAATAGTATGCTACACATATCAACTGATGGGTTTATCCTAACTTGACTCTGACGTTTATGGAAGGACTGGAGAATAATCACCCTGCAAGCGTAATCTCATTCCCGACGTTTCATTTCCCTTTTTATAAGTTTTACATTGTGTAAGGTTCCAGTTAAATTTAAGTACAATATTGAGTCAGTTGAACCCCTATAACCTTCTACAAGACTTATTCAATTTTTCTGGACACAATGAAGAAGTAAACAGGTTTAGAATTATCACATTTCATTTGATTATCTTAGTTAATATCTTTGTTTTTATATGGATTACAGCGAATTATCGATCCAAAACATTGCAATTTTTTGTCAAACAGTGTACCTGTTGGAATAGAAGCTACCGAAAATCTTCATCTCAGTTTAGACAATCCTGGTAAGTTGGATCTGTTTTTCCTTATAATTTATCATACAGCAAAGCTTTGAATATTATCCTGAAATTTCACAAGTATAACATAAGTTTTATTTAAGGGATCCTTTATGAGTTGAATGGATTCAAAACTACGACCGGAACAGGCTGGCTTCAGGAAGAACAAATCATGTGCGGACCAAATTGCAAGGCTACGCTACGCATCATCATAGAACGGAGTATAGAATGGCAGTCAACTCTCTACCTCAGCTTCATTGACTTTGAAAAGGCCTTTGGCAGCGTTGACCGAGAAGTAATTTGGTAGTTGCTTCAACACTACGGAATACCACAAACCTTTACCAGCCTCATTCAACAGCTATATGAATATGCTACACGCCAAGTAATTCACAATGGAAGCTCAGTGATGCTTTTGAAGTGAAGACAGGAGTAAGACAAGGCTGTCCACTATCACCCATGATATTCCTGATCGTAGTGCAGTGGATCAGGCAACAAACAGTGAGGAGCTGTCAGAAGAGGGGGATACTCTGGACCGGGGAGAAGAACCTAGAAGATTTGGATTTCGCCGATGACTTGTGTCTAATGTCACACAAACTAGGAGGTCTACAGGCGAAAGCCAACAATTTGTCAGAAGAGATGAGGCAGCGAAGATGGGACTTCCTTCAAGTGAATGTAGAGGAGACAGAGGTGATGATGATACCTAACCAACGCCACCACCGGCAAAAACAAGCTCCAGTCACCATTAACGGGAGAAACCTAAAGGAAGTAGTCTCTTTCACCTACACCTACCTAGGCAGGCAACATCGTTTCAACTACAGGTGGCACGGGCACAAACGAGGATGTCGAAGCCAGCCAGGATCGGAAAAGCAAGATAGGCGTTTATTAATCTGAAACCAGTGTGGAGATCTTCTGCACTCAGCATAAAGGGTGAACAAGATCCGGATTTTCAACACTAAGTCAGTCAAGTCATTGCTGCTATATGGTTCATCCAGAGAGTTGGCGTGTCACGAAAGGGATTTCCAACAAACTACAGATATTCATTAACAACTGCCTGCACTCCACACTGAAGATGAGATGGCCAGAAAGAATAAGCAACAAGGAACTCTGGCTAACAATGAACCAACTAAGAGCCTATCACCCAAAAAGTATGCAGAAGGAAGTGGAGATGGATTGGGTATACACTCAGAAGACCGATTGGGGACATCACGTGTCAGGCCAGGTCGTCAAGTGGAACTTAAAGGGGAAACGATGAGTTGGGCGTTGGAGGTCAGGGTGAGGGTGACATGGAGATGGTGTGAGGAAGAAATGATAGCTTGTGGGCGGTCGTGGAGCCAGGTTGAAAAGATTGCAGAAAAGAGAGTGGAATGGAGGCGTGCAATGTTCCATTAGGAACCCAAGGGAAAAATAATGATAATAATAGTAATCTACTATTAGTCATATCAGTCAGTAGTATATTTCTCACACCTTCGATACTTACTGTCTAGACGTCGTTTGTGCTACTGAATTGTTGTTCACATACTATCATCCAAATATTTTCATTTCCAACGAAATCTGGTGGAATTCAACCCTTAGGCTTCACTTCGAACTATGCATTTCACAAGGACTTAATTTGATTTTATGATCCTCTTGCTTCCAACTGGTAATTTCTAGTAGAAGTAGTAGGTGTGTGTGTGTGTGTGTGTTATAGTGCTTATGATTGTAGATTGTATATGAGCAGAATTTACCACAATCACACCTAGTTAACAACTACACACTATATTATGTGTCTGAACTTGACTTTTTAGCTTTCAACCCAGTAACTGTTTTCAGTCTCAGCTGAATCAGTATCAGGAAGTTGAACTGCTAGTCGACTCATGCTTATGTATATTCTAACAACACCAAAACACCAGAGTATTAGTCAAATAAAGCAGTCAGGCAGACAGATAGACAAAACCAACTTTGAATCTCACACAGAAGTGCATCGGTTCAAGTGACCAGACTTTACAACAGTGAATATATCTGTACCATCCGTGTCACCAAGGTTCTCCAACTATTGTCTCCTATCGTCTTGACGACCACAACCAAGAAGTTTACACCTCCATCTACATAGCTGAGATCAGTAGTCTGAGACTTCATAGACTGATGCAACCACAACCAATAAATATTTGCTTCGCCAAAGAGGAGAAACAAAGGAAACGATGGACTGACCACCACCTGCAACTCGTCCAGAAATACAACCAGCAGGCCAGCAAAAGAACTATCAGTGAACACAAACCCTCCGACAAAAGCAGGAGTTAAGTCCTGAACGCCATAAAGTCGCTAAAAGCCGAGAAAGCAGCAGGACCAAATGGAATTCCACCGGAAGCACTGAAAACAGACGCAGACACAACAGCAGCGTGTTGTGACTGAGTGTGGTTGCGGGTGTGGGTATAATGATACTGAGACTCAATAGACACCTCAACCGAGTACTTTTACAACTGACCTCCCTAAGTACCTTCTCCTTCACTAAGCCGCGAAAAACCAGAAAACAAAGACGGCATGTGACTGCAAGAACAACTACAACTTTTATTAGACAAATACATGACATATATGTATTTACAAAACTCTCAAAAAGTGAAGCCATGAATGAACCAATCCGATTTGTCGTATGATGTCAAATTCCTCCAATCAGGTTCTCATGTCAACGCACGCATAAATCATGATCTGATCGTGACTTGAAAACAACTCCCCTATTGGCTGCCTTTTGTCGCTACGTTTCACCTCCCTCCCCGTAAAATTGTATGACTTTTTCCTAGAATATATTTGGAGTCTTCCTGGTCTTCTTCTTTGTCTAACTGACCTTCGACTGGGGATGCATTGAGTGTTATCTGATGCTTCTGACTACGGGAGATTAAAAGTATCCATTAAAACTTCTGGCGTCAAGTTTTGCTGCTTTTTGTCGTCTACGTTGACCGCATCTAGTATCTCATTCGAGTGTCTGGTCCATATCTATCCTCCTACATTCACTTCGTATAGAAAATTTCCTTCACGCCCCGCTATCTGTCCATGTGTCCATCACGTACGTAGACATACTGATGCCATTTGAAGACTCGGTATTTAGCTCCATGGTGACGATTAAACTGCTTTTCCATTTCGGAATTTCTCCAGCCTTTCTTTACTCATGTAGGCTTGATTGCATCGAGGACGATTTTGACTTTCCGGCCAAACATAATTTCTGCTGGAGATAATTGATTTGGTACAGACGGATTCGGTGTAGTACGATAAAGCAGCAAAAAGTTATCCAAGATTTCATTCATCGTCCCCTCCCCCTTCGCATTCATGAAAGCTCTTTGGAAAGTATCAACGGACCGTTCAGCTTGACCATTACACTGAGGGTGATAAGAGGGGTACGAATGTGCTGGATGCGGAACTGATTGCAGAAATCTGAGAAAACCGACAATGTAGACTGCAATCCATTATCGGACGCCAGAACATCAGGAATACCAAACCGACAGAATAGGTGACGAAGCTGGCTCACTGTTGCCTGTGACATGATGGACAGCCTTGAAAAGATCTCTCGCCATTTCGAATGAGCATCAACACATACTAAGAAGTATATGCCGTTCAACGGTTCAGCAAAATCAACATCGACACAGGACCACGGTTATCCGGGTAACGGCCAGGAATACAGGTCTGTCTTGCGTGGCTATTCTGGCGCCTGCGCACATTTGCTACACTTTCAAACGACGTCTTCGATATGCTTATCAATGTTAAGCCAGTTGACATAACTGCGCGCAACTTCTTTCGTCCTACTAATGCCAGGATGTGACGAATGAAGTTGACGAAGTACATAGTTGTGAAGATTAACTGGAACAACAACACAATCTACAATCGTCAACAATGGATAAAGATTGTCATATTTCATGTAACTGTTTGAAATCAGGCGAATGGATATGCGAGGGCCTGCCACATCGGATGAACTTGGAAACCTGCTGCAGGAAATGATCACGTAGACTGTAGGTAGCAACCTGTGTTGCAGTCACAGGAAGAAGTTGAGTTGTGTTTATCAGAATTCTGTGGACATCGTCTTCGAAAGAAAGTGATGCGATGACAACGTCTTCATTTTACAAGTGATGATTGATTACTCAGCAATCGTGATGGTGCATCTACCTGACCAAATTCAGATGTAGATTTGTATTTGATCTCAAAATTATATCCCAACACCGTAATGGCCCATTTTTGGAGACGGTTTACAGTATGCACAGGAATACCTTTCTTTGAACCAAATATGGACAATAAGGGTTTGTGGTCGGTGCATAGAGTAAACTTCCTGCCGTGTAGCATTTTGTGAAACTTTTTAACGGCGAAAATAAGCGCCAGTCCTTCTTTCTCAATCTGAATATATATTTACGTTCCGCTATATTCAGAGTTCGAGAAGCATGTGCAATGCCTTTCTCCGTGCCATCAGGAAAACAATGAGAAATCACGGCACCAATACCATAATCAGATGCATCTGCAGCAACGATAATTTCCAGATTAGCATCATAATAAGTAAGTAACATGAGCAATGATTTTACCTTGGTAAAAGCATGTTGACACTGATGTACAATTCCATTTCACATTTTTAGACACCAACTGGTTCAACGGAGCACGCAGTCGGTGAATCTCCCTTGTAAGAAAACACTTTATTAACTCATGAGATCAAGAAAAGCTCGTGGTGTCGAAACATTTGGTGAAGGAGGAGGCACGTACATTCTCTGGATCTGGTCAACGTTGGTGTTCATCGAAAATAAAGCCAAGATATTTCACTGAATCCATGAAAAATGTACACCTATTTCCTTTAAGATAAAAACCAAATTCAGACATTTTAGAACGAACGGCATCCAACCGATCAAATAGTTCAGACTAACTGCTGCCTGTGACACAATCACATCATCTAAGTATACTACAACCCCCAGGTTGGTTGACAAGCATCGTGTCCATGATTTGTTGGAAAATGGCAGGTGCTGGCTTGACGCCAAATGGTAGGCGTGTATATTGGTAAAGAACTCGATGAGTGTTGATTGTCAATAGCTCTCTCGAATTTGGTTCGATCTCTACTTGAAGATACGCATCTGTGAGATCGATTTTAACAAAACATTTCCCCTCATTTAGTTTAACAAACAGATCTTCTTGAACTGGTAGCGGATAAGTATGATCTTCTAGGGCATTATTCAAACCAGTTGAAAAATTTGCGCACAAACGAACAGAGCCATTTACCTTGCGAACAACTACTATTGGAGCAGCCCATTGAGAATAGGTATAGGCAATCGGTTGGAGGACACCCAATACCTCCAATCTATCAAGTTTATTATCAACCAGGGGAACTGCAGTCAGCATATGGAACTGGACGTTTTGAGTGAAAAAACTGGCTTAACATTTGGCTTCAGAGATAAACAGACTTGAGTAAACTTGTAGCAACCAAGTTTGTCCTGGAAAACAACAAGTATGCGCTTTTGTCATAAACGTTGCAATAGAGTTTTATCGGAGAATTGAACTGAACTAACAACATCATGTGATGACAAAGACACTTGAGAACATACATAATTCAATGGAACATTCAGGATACGGAGTTTATGTATCCAGTCTAGTCCGAGCAAGTCAAAATCATGACAGTTTATCAGATAATAGTCACCATAGAATTGATGCTCACCAAACTGCACATGACAATTAATCTTACCTGTGAATGAGTTTTAGAACATCTCCCGAAGCATTTCTAGCAGTATATTCTGTTGGATAAACCTGTGGACACTCAAGTGTGTACCACGTGCAGCGGGAAATCAACGTGATATCAAATGTTGTGTCCCGTTGAAGACGGATAGGTTTATCATTCATGGATAAAGTATAATATATTTTCTTCTGCTGGCAAAATCGACTTTGAAGGTTACACATATACTTTGTATTTGAGAGGATGAAGGCCGTTTGGGAGGGCCACACTTGTTTTTCTTAGGACTTGTCTGTGGTGAACAATAACCTTCTTTATGTCCGAAACCATGACACTGACGGTGTTTATGCTTTTTGTGAAGGGAGAAAACTTTACAAATCCCACGAACCACAATACCAGCAAACTGAAGAAGGTTTACCTGACGGTTTTGATTTACGTTGCGTGTGGTTGGCTGTAGAGTGTGAGGTTTTCACTGCACTGACTGAACCCAAATCAGACGCCTGGGACTTTTGCTGTACTGTACAATATATGTATCATGCTTCAAATTGATCAAGCGTCGGTATTCAGCTGTCACCATGTGCAGTGTCATTTTTGAATCTTGCTCTATGCATGACAGAATTCTGGTCTGAATAGCGGCATCTTCAGGGTTCTGCAAACCACAAATAAAGATTAGACATTTAAATTGGTCCGCCATCATTTCGTTAAGCTTAAACCTCTCGCATTCTCGATTTACTTTACCAGCATATGTCAGATAATCATCAGCAGGTAATTTAGATAATTGAAGATATTGACAACGAATATTAAACAGGGATGATTGTTCGTCGAATATCTGAGAAAGAATGCCGACTTTTTCATCAAAAGGTAACTCACAGAGATTTTTCGGCAGGACATTTGTTGTGTTCAACAGTACCAAGTTTGCGTAATAATAGAAGAAGTTTGGCTGCATCATCAAATCTGGAGCATTCAATACGAAAGACATTTTCATAGCAATTAAACCATGAATCGAAAATGAGACCAGACATCGGATCATATTTAAATTCACTGACAGAATTGGAAATACTTTCATATTTATCTGAATGGGATGCTGAAAGCATTCGACTTGAAAATTTTTGAGTAAGGGCTTCAATTAATTTCAGTTGAGCTGCTTCACTTTGAGCATGCTGCAGTTGTAAAATAGATTTCAGATCATCCAACGAGATAGACATTGTCAATCGAAACCGAAAAGAACCAACTCACGTCGCCGTCGTCCCGCTCAGATAAATATGAAAGTATTTCCAATTCTGTCAGTGAATTTAAATATGATTCGATGTCTGGTCTCATTTTCGATTCATGGTTTAATTGCTATGAAAATGTCTTTCGTATTGAATGCTCCAGATTTGATGATGCAGCCAAACTTCTTCTATTATTACGCAAACTTGGTACTGTTGAACACAACAAATGTCCTGCCGAAAAATCTCTGTGAGTTACCTTTTGATGAAAAAGTCGGCATTCTTTCTCAGATATTCGACGAACAATCATCCCTGTTTAATATTCGTTGTCAATATCTTCAATTATCTAAATTACCTGCTGATGATTATCTGACATATGCTGGTAAAGTAAATCGAGAATGCGAGAGGTTTAAGCTTAACGAAATGATGGCGGACCAATTTAAATGTCTAATCTTTATTTGTGGTTTGCAGAACCACCAGGGAGATTCACCGACTGCGTGCTCCGTTGAACCAGTTGGTGTCTAAAAATGTGAAATGGAATTGTACATCAGTGTCAACATGCTTTTACCAAGGTAAAATCATTGCTCATGTTACTTACTTATTATGATGCTAATCTGGAAATTATCGTTGCTGCAGATGCATCTGATTATGGTATTGGTGCCGTGATTTCTCATTGTTTTCCTGATGGCACGGAGAAAGGCATTGCACATGCTTCTCGAACTCTGAATATAGCGGAACGTAAATATATATTCAGATTGAGAAAGAAGGACTGGCGCTTATTTTCGCCGTTAAAAAGTTTCACAAAATGCTACACGGCAGGAAGTTTACTCTATGCACCGACCACAAACCCTTATTGTCCATATTTGGTTCAAAGAAAGGTATTCCTGTGCATACTGTAAACCGTCTCCAAAAATGGGCCATTACGGTGTTGGGATATAATTTTGAGATCAAATACAAATCTACATCTGAATTTGGTCAGGTAGATGCACCATCACGATTGCTGAGTAATCAATCATCACTTGTAAAATGAAGACGTTGTCATCGCATCACTTTCTTTCGAAGACGATGTCCACAGAATTCTGATAAACACAACTCAACTTCTTCCTGTGACTGCAACACAGGTTGCTACCTACAGTCTACGTGATCATTTCCTGCAGCAGGTTTCCAAGTTCATCCGATGTGGCAGGCCCTCGCATATCCATTCGCCTGATTTCAAACAGTTACATGAAATATGACAATCTTTATCCATTGTTGACGATTGTAGATTGTGTTGTTGTTCCAGTTAATCTTCACAACTATGTACTTCGTCAACTTCATTCGTCACATCCTGGCATTAGTAGGACGAAAGAAGTTGCGCGCAGTTATGTCAACTGGCTTAACATTGATAAGCATATGGAAGACGTCGTCGGTGATCGCTGCAGCTCAATAATGTCTTTGAAGGGAAGTGATGGATGGAAGGCATAAGACATGGTGTGCGCCTGTTATCATGTGACATCTTCGTTGTTGTGGTCGACTAAGGTGAACTGTGTCATGCAAGAAACTGTGAGGAGGTGTTTGGCCGATATAAAGGACGTACTAGATGTTTATTTCGACGATGATTCATGTGTAATTTCGGACAAGCTCGATGGTCTACCGGCGGAGACTAACAAGTTGTAAGTGGAGGCAGGGCAGCACAGATAAGACTTCAAATGAACTTGGAGAAGACGGAGGTGATGAAGATACTCATCCAACCAACTGGGTAACAACAGCAAGCATCAGTGACAATCGGCGGAGGAATTTGCAGGAAGTTGTCTCTTTGACCTACGTAGGCAGCGTCGTTTCTACTATTGCCGGCGACTCAGATGAGGATATGAAAGCCACGATCGGAAAAGCAAGACAGGCCTTTATTAATCTGAAATAATTGCGGAGATCCAGTGTGCTGCTCCCAGTATAAAGCGTGAACAGGATCCGGATTTTGAACAGTAATCCAGTGCTTGTATATGATGGTTGATGGACTTGGCGCGTTGGGAAAAGCATGATCAGAATAAGCATGGGGGAACTCTGGTTGGCAACGAAGCAACCAAGAAGCCATCTCCCAACAAATATGCAGGGGATGGTGGAGTTGGATTGGATTGAAATACACTGAGAAGGCCGTTTGGGGATATCACAGCGTAAACCACGCCCTCGAGTGGAACCGAAATGGGAAACGACGAGTTGGGCATCAGAGGCGAGGGTGATATAGTCAAGATGATATGAGGAAGAAATGAAAGCTTCTGGGCAGTCGTGGATCTAGGTTGAAAAGAGTGCCGAGAACAGTGTGCAATGGCAATGTGCTACTGTATCCCTATGTTCCACTAGAAACCCAAGGGACAAATAATAATAATAATTATACTTGTAAAGTTTTAGTTGTACACTCTTCAATATGGATTTAACTTGAGAAGTGAAAGCGTAAAATGGATTGTAACCGCGATAAAGTCGGTATAGTTGAAAGAATTTATCAACAAGCCAGTCAAATTTACTTTTCGTTTCCATTATGGAACTGTGATTCATTGGTTTTGGTAATTAACTTTCAATCAAATAGGTAATGGGTTCAAAGTTTACTCCACAAACTGGGATTTGGCCAACTAGATAGTATTATTAATCATCACACATACACACACACACAAGGGTTTCTGAGTACATCTCCTTGTTATACTCTAGTCTATACCTCAGTGTTTAAATATTCCATCTTTATTATTTATGTAACCATAGCTGAATACTATTAATAATCCTATCTAATACGGAACTCTTCTTTTTGTTGTGAAAATTCTTTAAACAAACATGGTAATCATAAATCCATGTGTAGTGTCAAGAATAAAATCAGAGAAAAGTTTACAACAGAAATCGTGTCATCGGTACCATCATCATCATCATCATCCTATATACATGCCTGAAGTGAAATATTCTCAAGGTATTTTTGAATTCAATCTAACTTATAAGAATTTTGTATTGAATCAAGCTTCCAATTCATATAGTGGTTATACTTCGAATACAGTAGAACTGTTACAACCAACATGTTGTCATATCCTTGTTTCAGGGGAACGTATTAAATCTGTAAGCGTGTAAGTATTTCTCTTTATTTATCGAGTAATTGTATATTATGAATTGCTTCTTTTTTGTTTTCAACTCTCATCTCATCTTTACAAACAATTCAATCAATGTAAAACTTTATGGTTCATTAGTTTGTTTAAGGAAGATGACTTTCAACTAATGCATCATCAATTATCAAGGTGTAATCAGCTAAATAGTAGATTATACTTACTCATTGAATAGTGTAAAATGTAATCATCTCTGTTCAAAGTAATATGTTTTAATCGTTTGTTTGAGTACACAATTATTATCTCTTCGTTATCTATTCAATTTCACTTTGACTTCTTTCAACATCATTTACCATTAATATAAGAGTAAAACTTGGGCACCGTGATCGATTGTAATCCCATTTTAGTCTATTTATTAGAAATGTCATACGTAGTAATGAAACAGTAGCATTTACTCGATAACAACATTTTGGACACAATTTATTGTCCATATTCATATCAGGTAACTCCACAACAACTTCCAGACAGAGTTCAATTAATTCTCACTCTCTCTCCTTCCCTGTGGTAACAAGGGTAGTAGAATTTTCCATATATCGGGGAAAGGTGCAGATTCATTTCGATTGCCTCATGTGTTTGGTGTTGACTCGATCTCTCCCTCCCTCCACCCAAGTGAGTTAGTTTTCAACACTATCACCCTATCCCCACCCTACTGTGTGATTGCATGTCATCGCTTCCCTTGCAATGATTGCGGGGTCAAGTACATAGGTCAAAGCAGTCGACCAGGGTCGATTAGAATAACAGAGCACAAAAACTTGGCTAAATCAAGATTAGTAGATCCTAATAAGATAAGAAATCTAGAGAAAAGTTCGTTGATGACACACATAATCACACAGTAGGGTGGGATCGGGCGACAGTGTTGAAAACTAACTCAGTTGGGTTGAGGGAGGGAGAGATTGATAATCGAATCTTTGTTTATCGAGTCAACACGAAATACATACAGCAATAGGAATAATTCTGCACCTTTCCCCTATATATGGAAAATTCTACCACCCTTGTCATCACAGAGGAGAAAAAATTAGGAATATATAGTCTGTCTCGAAGTTGTTGTGGATATGAATATGGACAATAAATTGTGTCGGAAACGTTATCCAGCAAATGCTACTGTTTCATTACTACGTGTGACATTTCTAATAAATAGACTAAAATGGAATCACTTACCAGTGTTTACACTAAGCTTCTGCTGAGTATTACAAGTAGGAATGTAGTATTTCAGACTTGAATTGTCTAAGGTTTTCTTCCTTCTTACTCGTGAATAAACAAGTATGTCCTGATAGCTAGAAATTTACAAGGATCTGTCTACAATCTAGTAACTCAATAGGTTTCTTCTTTATTTCTATCAAGATAATGAAAGCGAACATAAAATGTCGTCTCATGCAACGGATGTATTAAGAAATGGGAGTTTCCTAACTTCTACTGAAAAGCATTGCGTTTTAATCATTATAAACAGTAGTGGTTAAAAATTAAACATTCTGATTGATGACATTCGAAGTTTTCATCACTCCATCTGGCTGGGGAAATAGATCTTCGAAAGCAGTCACCGATTGACTCCTGAACCTAGTCAATTGTCTGCTAACATGATGCCTGGATTCCACCTCACTAACTCAGGTGAGAGGGTGGGTTGGTATTACTCGAACAAAGTATGTAAAATGCAGTTAACGTTAGTAGGATAACTCAGATTGGGCACTTGATGATGTTCTAGCTTAAGAGGTACGTGTAAATACCCCAGGACTTTGAGGCATTCTTCGTTAGTACGAGTTTATAACTCAAGGTGTGTATAGTTCTCATGTACATGCACCTAATTGAAAGCCAACCCAGTGTCAGATGACTTTTAGCTGACCTTAAATAGGTGTAAGACTTGTAAAATCGAAATAGCCACCGTTTGACAACTATGAAATTACAATAATCGTCTCTTGTGAAATTGAAAACGCTTACTAATTCAGTTTATTCAAATGAATAATGAGAATATATGATCACCTACTATTAACTTATTTATCCACTTCTCTGACTTTTTTTTATACCTTAGAGATCATTTAAGATGCTTAGATCAAGCTGTTCTTGACTGTTCACATGTAACAAGTCATTTGAAAAAATCATTCATATCTTGTGATCGTTTGCATACATCACTTACGGATAGGAACATTCCAGTTGGATCACGTTCAGCTGGCGATGGTCAAACAGATAATGATGATGATGATGATGACGATGATCATGAATTCGATGGTACTGATTGTCCAACTTATCCAGAAAATATCTCATACAAAAACAATCCAGTTAGCTCAACTTCGAGTAAAGTAGAATTTCACTTAGGTAATGTTAATCTGAATGTGGATTTTTAAAGATAAACAAAAATAGTAACCATGACTAACACTTTTGTATTCTGTTTGACAATTTCTTATCACTACTGAAGGTTGATATTGAAGGTTAAATGAAAATTTAAGCTATGACAAGATTCAAACCAATGATCACTGAATTTTCCACTCTGGTGCTGTTCTACCCATTGAATTATGGGCGGGAAATTTGGTGTTCATTGGTTCGAAATGATAATTTCTCATTGGTCATTGTTACTTAACGATTTTGAGGTGACAGTTATTTGATGACTTAATGTCTTTTGAACTCATCAAGCAGAAATCTGAGTATGCTTGGCATGCATTCCACTGGTATCTATCTCAACTGTAAGATGATGCTCCAGGTCTGGTCTGGTGTAAGTTCTTGCGGTTCAGTGATAGAGAGTAAAGTGATAGAATGCATCTACCTAGAAAGTGTTGCATCGACTCAAATATGTTGGTTGCTGACGAAATTTCAGCTCAGATAGAGAAGGCCCGTTTGCATTTGCCAACTTACGGCTATCTATCCAAGGACGTGTATACTGCACTGTAGGTCTATTCTCTCTTGTCATACAGCTGAGACATTGGCGTTAAACGTAGACGACTTAAAGTGGTTACCCGTATTTGATCATAGATGTCTTCACAGCATTGTTCGCCTTTGGTGGAATCACTGTGTAAGCAACCCTGAGGTGAGGTGTAGGGTACTAAGCAAGCCGTCTGATGTGGCTATGAATCTTCATTGTCTAAGATAGCTTAGACATGTACTGCACATGCCGATCCACCACCTACATGGACGTGGTATGCTGGGAGAGGTTGGAAGAGGTTTGAGGGTGACCAGACCAGACCAGACCAGACGGGACGAGACGAGACGAGATGTGGCACCAGTCGATGAAGTCTCGTAGTGTGTTGGTTTGAGGCATATGGGACGTTGTAGATTGTCTGGTTGGAGTCCGTGACACAGAAGGAATCAGTGATTGGGGACTGTTGATGTGATGGGTGGAAATCGGTGACGCTAGTGCAGATGCAGATGTATCCAATCTTTGACGTCTTGTGAAGCTTTAATATTCGCAGTGACTGTTATCTTCAGATTGCTTATTCATCATATACCACTTTATGTTGTTTGAAATCAGTCTTATTCTGTCCAGTTGTTATTTGTGTACTTCTGTGAAGTGTGTAAGCTTCAGCCGGTTATCTTCCTATGTGAGCTTGTATGTTGATTTTCTAAATCAGTCAGTCAGTCATCCTAATCGATGAGCACCCAGTATCAATAAAAGTCTAGCAAACTATGGTTATCTCAGATAGTTAAACGGACAATGAATATACTGTTCTGTCTCTCTAATTCAAGTTGATTTGGATTACGGTTGAAAAGTGCCTACTTGGCAGCTAGTATAAATGTGACTAACGGATAGTAATGCAACATGAATTCGCTTGGTAGTTAGGCGAAATCCCTAGTGATTGCATGTACTTCACAGCAGTCCGATCTGTTCTACTGTATGGATGTGAAACATGACCATTGAGGGTGGAAGACATGAGAAGGCTTCAAGTGTTTGACCACCGTTGCCTTCAAAGTATAGGCCGTATTTCGTGGTGTCAGCACATGAGTAATGCAGAAGTCAGGTATAGAGTTTTAGGGAGTAGAGGTAAATCGGTTGACACGGTTGTGAAGCTTCATCGACTGAGATGGTTGGGACACGTACTACGTACGCCCAGTCGTCGATTGCCTCGTCAAACAATGTTGGTCAAAGTAGATCCAGGCTGGAAAAAAGCCCGAGGTGGCCGGACTAAAACATGGCACTAATGCATGAAGTCTTTGACTGTTGGTTTAAGCCATGTGGGGCAATGCAGACTACGTGGTTGAGGTCCGTAGGACAAGAGGAACCAGTGGTGGGAGACTCTAGATGATATGGCTCAGAACCGTTGTCAGTAGCGCAGATGTATACACACATTATCCTCATCTTAACGACGCTATACGGAATCTCACCATTTTCTCATTCCTCCTTTATCTCTCTCTCTCTCTCTTTGAGTACTTTATATTTCTTTCGACCGAACTTTCTTATCTTCATCTTTCGCTTCACTGCCTTTTTATTTGATGTACTGATATGAGCTGTGGCAACTCGGACTGTTACGCAGTAATTCCTGGTCCTGTGTTGATACCAATGATAATGATGATGAGTGATCGCAAGGAAACTAGGATGTGATCTACAGCGGGGTTTTTTAGCTCATTTAGTAGAGCACCGACTCGGTAACCTAAAGGTCGACGGTTCAAATATTGTCATAGTTCAGATTATCATTTCACTTTTAATCATACCCCAGTAATTACTATTTGTTTTATATTAATTGAAATTGTTAGTGTCAATGAACAACAACTGATACCCGTTGTACAAGAGGTGGTTATCGTACTCCAGTGACCCTAGTGGATACTTCTTTTGACAATGAAAGCCACGAGTACTTGGTTCGAGTCCCAGTGGGAACAACATCACTCAGTACATTCACAGTTGACGAGTCTCATATGGAAAAAAACGAGTGTCCTGCATTCCACTACTAGTCATCAGGATGAATATATCAGTGTAGTATCAATTTCTTTTCAGAATTAATACATTCAATTAGTTAGTAAAATATTATTTCTGTATATATTATTTTTTTTTAAAGATTCATCATCTGATGAATTGTATTCTCCGTCAATATCTTTTACAAATGATCAAACTGATATACAACATCATCTACTTCTACCAGGTCGTTCTACATTTGAAAAACACCTAGTTCGAGAAGTAGCCTACTTTGAATTATGTGAGTTTTTGATTGAACAAATGGAAGAAATTTATGATACAGAGACTTATAAGTTGTTATTGAGTTCAGAAATCAATCAGAAGCATAATGATAGGCCTTCACAGATGCATCCTGACCATCAGGTATTGTTTATTATTACAATTATTATTATTATTATTATTATTACTGCTAATTATTATATTACTTCACATTAGTTCACGTGATTTTGTCTTTTAAATGATTTTTGTTTCGCATTTCACATCTTTCTCAGAAGAGATCCCATTGTCATCGTTCCTATTTAATTTCGTTATAGATGTGCTAACAGACATAACCTTAGGTACATCTTACCTCACCGGAATTGATTTACTCCCAGGAGGACATCCAAACAATATTGCCCAGCTAGCTGAATGCGTTGAGCTGATATCTAAGTATGTTTGGGCATGCGTTTTGTTAACAGCTATTACATGTAAGATGATGTTCCAGGACTGGTCTACTGTAAATACTCTTAGTTTAATGATACGAAGTGAAATGGTGGAAAATGTTGACCACTTAACGAGTTGGTTGCTGACGAAATGTCAACTCGAATAGAGAAGATTCGTTTGGAATTTGTCAACCTATGTCATCTCTGGCACCAGCCGACGAGATGTCTGACTATCTATCAAGCGACAAGAATACTGCACTGCAGTTCGCTCTTTCCTGTTTTACGGCTGACGTGGCCGGTAAAGACAGAAGACATGAAACGATTACCAGATTTTCATCATAGATGTTTTCACAGCATTGCTCTCGCTTGATGGAATCACCGTGTAAGCAACCCTGAGGTGAGGTGAAAGGTACTAAGCAAGCCGTTTGATGAGGCTATGAATCTCCAATGTCTAAGATAGCTTAGACACGTACTGCGCATGCCGATCCACCACCTACATGGACGTGGTATTCTGGGAGAGGTTGGAAGAGGTTTGAGGGTGACCAGACCAGACCAGACGGGACGAGACGAGACGAGACGTGGCACCAGTCGATGAAGTCTCGTAGTGTGTTGGTTTGAGGCATATGGGACGTTGTAGATTATCTGGTTGGAGTCCGTGACACAGAAGGAGTCAGTGATTCGACCTCTGTTCTGTGTATATTATCATTAGCCCTTACACAATAGATTTAATTCATTATGTATGGTACGCATTCCCATGTGGTTTCTGAGTACATTTAGAAATACATCATACTTCAAGCATTTCTAATGCGAACGATAATGTCACATCCCATTGTATCTACCAATTCAAATGTACGTGTGGTGACACATACATAGGGAGGAATAATAGATCCATGCAAGTAAGGGCCTCGGAACATATTCCAAAGTGGCTTCAGAAGCAAATTAAATCACCTGAACCTATAAATGTTGGTAGCAGACGTCCAGGTTCTTCGATCGCTAAACATATCGTTGAGACAGGTCACAAGATTGATGTGGCTACTTCCTTTACACCTATTTACAAAACATGTTGGGGAGGGATCCTGAAATTTGTTGAAGCCTTAGCTATTAGGAAGTTGAAACCACCTTTATGTGTTCATAAACAATTTGTTGTCACATTAAACCTTCCTTGGTAAATTCAACTATTGAAAAACCAAGTTCGATGTACTATTATTTTTTCGCTCTATTGATTTTCATTGTTATTCAACCTTTAAGTTAGCCTTCCTATCTGACCCCTTTTTATTTTCTCACCCCTTATCTTCATGAGTTTTTATATAAATACCTATGACAAGTACGTGTGTGATCAGATAGTTCGAAATGTGTTGCGCAAATACATTACATGGTTCAGACAATTTATGTCTTCTTATTGTTTTATCGAAGAATAGTATACTAATTTGAAATGTGTTAATATATCTATGATTAACTTGCTTAATTTTCAATATTGTTTCTTATCTATAATTTTATTCTTTTCATAGATAACATTAATTGATACTACTATTCATAAATTGGATAATCCACTAACTCAAGGTCATCAACATATTGTAAATACTGCGACTGGATTAGCTATTTCATTAGTCAATATGTGTATAGAAAATACTAATAATAATGGAAAATCAGAAATAATCTCTTGTAGATTATTTGAATTACGTGAAATTTTACTTCAAACTTTTGATATAGATTGGGTTGATTTAGATGAACAGTCTACTAACTCGAACAAAAAAACAACAATACTCACTTATAACAATAAACTTCAGAGATTGTTCAAGTCATTCAGCTTTTCAAAAACTAATCAATATCCGATTAAATCATTGGATAACTCCATAGAACTAACTCATCAAAGGTAATTATATCTCTATATGTATCAATTATATCCTGTGTTTTAGAAAACGGTTAAACACCAGTATATAAACTTTCATCTCTGTTAACTAATCTATTGACGAGTAAATTCGAAGAAATTATCTTCACTGAGATATATGTTGATGAGACTTGTAGTAGATATTCTTCACTCAGTTGAACTCTACATCTCTCAGTATCAAGTTCAGTTTACAAAAAAGAAACAGATAAGGGAAGAAACTGACTTTCCTTGATTGTCTTGTTCAGTAGAAAATAAGTCGACACTTGATTATAACCATTTTCAGCAAAGTAACATATTCTAACAAATATTTAGACTGTAGTTCATCACATCCAATCTGTGTGAAGGTTTTGGTGACCTCCAGTATTTTAAGGAGCACACTACACACTCTAATAACCGATGAAAATGAATGGATTAAGGATGTAAAATCTGCAAACAGGGAAACTTCAAAATGAATAATTTACCCAATGAAATTCATTCACCAAACAGAAAGTAGATTGTAGAAATACTCATAAATCACTGGCCTTCACAATAGACATCGTAAACAGGTTACACACTACTGACAAAATCAGTAGACTACTCAATAAATTCATTATTAGAGTGTTCTACAGAACATCAAACATATGGCACAGACCACCTTAGTTGATTTGAAGGACGACATCTGTCTACATTCACAATCAAATTATGTTTATAAAATAAAATGATCAGATTGTGATACAATATACATAGGGCAGACTTCATGTGAAATGAAGATTGAACATCGAAGATCATCCAAACGACTCCCTAGAAATGTAGTGGAATTCAAAAAAAAAACACTTGAAAACAAACACTTCAATCATAGCTGTACATCCTATAATTTCAGGTCACATGATCGACTCACATTAACAATATGTAAATTATTGACAACTGCTTTAGAGAAGGTGTAAAGAACATCTCATAACAGATAGAATATATATTCACATAAAGTGGAATCATAATTGTCGAAATAGGAATGAGGAAGGGAGTAGAATGTAGTTTGACCTGGTCTCTCCCATCAACTCACCCCTTCCCACCTCCCCCACACATACGCACATAACTACCAACATACATACGATTAGAACTACCAACACATATACACACACATGTGTGTGTAACAGAAATTGGAAATATGGAGTGTTAGATTCTGACCCAGTGGCTAGCTCAATGGTAACGCGCTGGCTGCGGAACCTGAAGGACGCAGGTTCGATCCCTGGTGGTGCGGTAGTGCGGTGCGCACTACTGAGGAGTCCCATACTAGTCAGACGAAACAACTGTCCAGTGCTCCCAGGTTCCCTTTGTTCCTCCAATTGATGTCAGTCTACGATGAATAACAACTTGAAATCTCAGTCTGTAATTCATACACTCTTTTCACACACACACACACACACACAATACACTACATATGGATATCATTTTGTATTCTACAGTCGTAACAACGCAGAATCATTCATACAGAAGAATACTTGTCTAGTTATCATATATAAGGTTGGGAGACAGTGTAAATTCCGATTTTCTATAAGCTTGATGAAGCTATTAGCAGCACGGAATAGTGAAACATCAGTTGAAACAAACTTGTTTAGTTGTACATTGTCATTGGGAAACACAAATATCAAAAGAGTGATGATGACTTCATTGAATACATCTTTGAAACAGATTGTTAATTAACCCCCTTTCTATACTGTTGGTGCAATCCTCTTTTAATAACAACTTGTACCACGTCTTCTTAGTATCATCATATTTATTTTGTACGGAGGATTTCTCAGTGCCGATTTCCTATTAATTGAATATTGAATATATTGTGTAGAAAGAGACAATTAAAGTTTCATGATTACACTGTCATATTTGGTGAATGCAACATCGTCAAGACTTCACAGTGAAAACTCACATACACAATATCACTTCATATTGAGATTGCGAAGGAAAAAATTGGCTTTTTTCTGTTGGACAAATATATTCATTGAATAAAAAGTCTACGAGGAATAGCAGAAACCATGAAAGTGACGCCAGTGACAAGTTGAAATGCCCTCAGAACCCATGAGTATGGTCGTGTAGTAGGCAAACAATCATTCTTATCTATTGTGTGTGTGTGTGGAGGCAAGGGGGTGGGGTGGGGTGGGGTGGCTAATGACACCATCTAGACTTCGGTAAGTCGAGTGAAGTCCGAATGCATCATGCATAAATTGTAAGTGAAATAGGCTTAGACACCAATATGAGCCACAGATTGAAAACAAAAGAATAAAAACCAAATAAATTTTCTTTTCGATAAATCATACAAACATACATAAATGTAACTAAGGTATACTCTGAAATTAGCATACACACATGATTATACATACATATATACCAGTGAAGTATCTTTGTCAAAGTAATGATACTTGTGATTTCACGTTGGTGTACACCGGCGAAGAGCTCCTACACAGCTGCCTCAATACTACTGATTATCCATGTTATATTGATCTTGGTGACAAGTATCATAACAGCGACAACAGCAACAACAACTACTGATACCCATTGTATAAGAGGTGGTTTAGTGTATAAGGCTCTAGTGTTTGAAGTGATGAGGACTCGGTTAGAGCAGGTACATCCAGCTGACCAGTCCTAACTAGCACGAAACGCGCATCCTGGATCCCTCTGCTAGTCACCAAGATCAATACAATATCTTTGTAAGAAGTAATTGACATTTAGGTGAGTGTATCGAATTCGATGGTGGTAAACAAAAAAATTTATTTAGAAAGATATTTCAAGTTGGTATTCATTGTAGACTGAGATGAGTTAGAGGAAAAATGCGAACCCGGGTGCACTAACTGGACAGCTGTTTCGTCCTAGTATGGGATTGTTTAGCAGTGCGCACCCATGTCCGCTCCTCGACAAGTGTCGAACTCACCACCTTACCTTACCATTGAGCTGCTGGGTCGGAATGCACAGATCCATATTTCCAACTTCTGTCAGTTCGCGATATAGAGTCATCGTTGAGTATCTGTTCTCACAGTCACTAGGTTTGCCGTGCTGGTCTCGCCTTCTGATTGGGACTTCGGGAATCACCTGTTAAGAGTAGTCATCAATGAGCACTAGTTCAGTTGAATTTGTGAGGAGGGGAGGAGGCTTGATAGTATCGTGTTCATCACGGAACCTGAAGGTTGCGGGTTCGATCCCTGAGCACCAACATAAGTACGATAAGAACTATCAGCACATATGTGTATATACAATTCTCAGCCTGTAATTCTAACACACAACAAACTACATATGGATATCATTTTGTATTCTACAGTCGTAACAACGCAGAATCATTCATACAGAAGAATACTTGTCTAGTTATCATATATAAGGTTGGGAGATAGTGTAAATTCCGATTTTCTATAAGCTTGATGAAGCTATTAACAGCACTGAATAGTGAAACATCAGTTGAAATAAACTACCGAAATAATGAATAAGGATTATAGAGCAATGATGTTGATTTGCTTTTTTAAACTGTCATTTGAATTCAGAGACAAAATGATTCTTACTTTAGGTCACTAATGGTCAATTCGGTCAAATATATATAAAGACTGATAACATTACTGATTAACATATGATGTATACATAATTAGTGTAGTTGGAATATAAAAGTTGGGTTATAAATTGGATATGAGTGAATGTCACCCGACAACTGTTTGTTACTTTGACGTAGTGATCGGGTTTGGATATCATTATAATTCAAAAAGAGCTATACTAGTTGGAATATATGTTCTCTGAAGTCCTACTATGTGAGAAAAGTTTGTTAGTTAGTGAATGATAAGACTGTAAACAATTACCAGAATAGTGTAGATAGCTTACTATATGATTGGGGACCGAAGATGAAGCTATATTACTAGATGAATGGGTTGTAATAGCAGTATGGTGTTTCCAATAAATGACCAACAGTCTATATGGATGCTGTGGGGTTAAAAAGAGTTTACCGCAACAATGCTACATCTCCTAACCTGAGGTTTTCCGGTTCTGGTGATACGACAGTCAGTCTCACTCAACCTGAAATATATGTCCCTTGGGCTCTACAATCAAGCAAAAATAATCCTTTTTATCTTCTAGGTACGTTGCAGAAACACCTTTCCTGATGTGCGCAGTCGGGAAGTGCCCACCATTCATATACTTCTGACACTACACTAAATCCTACTCACCACATAGAAGTACATCAGTTATCAAGTGGCAGGTAATCAAGTTAGTTAAGTAGTCCTTCATGATGCTCGATTTCTATAAATCAAGTAATATAGTCTATTTGCTTAGCCATGAAATGTATCATATCAGTGAAGCTTATGCAGTCAGCTCCACAATGCCAGGTGAATTGATAGACTCACATAGAGGTGGTGACCTCGGACCGGTGGTTTGTCATTTTATACACCCTTGTATCATTTATTGACTGGAGAAAACAATTCGAAGTTCGAAGGAAAACAAAGTGATACAACGGCAGAGATAATTAAAAATTGATTGTGTTTATACAGCACTGAGGATGTCGTTCTTTTTTCTCTGAAGTCGATAACTGATTCAAGGATATGTAATGGATAAGCTACCGCTTTGGTGTCACCTCTGTGTTTACCAATTCATTTGCTGTTATGGAGCTGGTTATAGAGACTGTACAAAGTATCCTCGAAAAGGAAGACGAAGCCGGTAATAGCACGACTCTTCAGTGTCTGGCTAACTAACGTTATCACTCTGTTCTACTAAAATCTTTCTTCCAAGCCATTTATAATAAATACAAATTGTAATTATAATCCATATATTTCATTCAGTCGCAAAAACACAAGTCTACACAATATTCAATGCATGAATTCACATCAATATGGTCTTGAAATGATAACCAATAGGATTATTGCATTAATTGAAGTCATAGAACAACAACAATAATCAATGAGAACATTGTTCAGTATGACTTAACCAGACATAAACTCATATATACATCACTTGTGTCTCTGTAGACAGTTAAAACTTCTCATAGAAACCTTTACACACTTCATATATATCACAGTCTAGATTTAATATTATGTCTAAGATATATGAGTAATCATTTTTGCATCATGTCTTGGCATCACATCTCGGCTTATTATAATATCACACTATTTAACGTGCCTCCTCCTTTCATCTATCCTCTTCTGTCTTTTTTTTTTGATGGAGTAGTCTTCATGCAAAGTCATTCCATCAACCGATGAATTCAAAATTAACCGTCCAATCTCGTCCACAATCTAGTTATTTATCATTATTTCTCAATTCTTTCAATTCAATACGTCATCCTGGGACATCAGCGTCTATTGTTTCACTGAAGAATACAAGTATGATTGAGTTAGATAATCCAAGTGTTAAATCAACTTTGAAACAGGATAGTAATTGTGAATCATTAATTTCTTTGATTAACAATTTCAAATTTTCAGATAAATTGAATTTACCATTTAGTAAACACCATTCTTCAGTGGATTTTGTATGTACCCCGTTACCATTCGGTCTCTTAATAAATCCACCTGTCTTAAAATCTAAGTAAGTTTCAGTTTTAATTGTGTATATTAAAAATTATGTTTGTTTAAACTGTATAAATTGATGATGAATGATAGCTAGAAGTGGAATCCATGAATAGGCGTTTCGTCTTACTTGTGACTGTCCTTGAATAAGATCAAAATTGAAACACTGGGAATATTGAAGCATCCACATTGCAGCTTATATGCCAATAGATACCGATCAATTCGATCCAGTCAACTACTGGATGATACAGATAACAACATAAAAACTGTATTTATTGCACAAAAAAGTGACTCATTAGCCTAGTGGATGACTCTTAGGCGTCTAAAGCAATCGGTACCAGGTTCAAGTCCCAATGGGAAGGACATTAGCCACTGGGAGGCAGGCACATTCAAGTGGCGAGGCCGAAATAAGATGAAACGTAAGTCTTGAACTCACTTTCTGTCAGCATCTATCATATGAACCTCAATCGGGAAACCTACTTATCTCTACATAGATCAAACTAACAATCAAAGACTTTGTAGATCAATGCAATGTTTTAGTTTCACCGTCTTCAACCTTGAGATAACGTTCCAGTTCGAAATACTTATCTTTGATGAACTAACGTTTTCAATGTACATCCACCCATCATCCATCGCTTATTGTTCTACTGGTTATGACCAATAGTATCGTGTAGTATAAACTTTAATTTTGTTTAGTCATCGAAATGTATTGATCATGTGAAATGCATTACTTTTCAACTTCTACTCATCCATATGAGATCTAAATCCACATATAATAAAGAGTTGGAGATGTATTGGGCATATACTGAGAAGGTCTACTGGGGACATCACGCGCCAGGCCAGCCACTCGAGTGGAACCCAGATGGCAAGCGACCAGTTGGGCGTTGGAGGCAAGGGTGACATGGAGGAGATCGTGCGAGGAAGAAATGAGAGCTTCTGGGCTGTTGTGGAGCCAGGTTCAAAAGATTTCAGAGAACAGAGCGCATTGGAGACGTGCTACTGAAGCCCTATGTTCCATTAGGAACCCAAGGGACAAATAATAATAATAATATATAAATATAAGGGGAGGCCCGATGATTACCGATTGTCAACATGGAGAATACTTAGAAAGGAAGACGTCGCCATATCCAATTGATTTCGATGAAGTTGAATACTTTTCTCTCTCATCTCTTTAGCTTTTATGTTCAACAAAATGAACAGCGTCCGCTTTAATAGTCAGATATGTAAAAGTTTTAGGTAATTAAGACGATAGAAAGTGGTTCTAGAATGTAGTTAGTAAATATGTTGCACACATTGGGATTTTACAAACCTTATCTTACAATGTTGATGCCTATTGGCATTAAAAATGTCATGTTCAAAGACTTGAACGTTATATTTGGTCATATCTTTTTGAGTAGTGTCGGTGTGCTTCGGCTAACCATAGAGCGTGTAATGGTTGAGTGTGTCGACCCCTTCACTTACCTTGGAAGTAGGATCAGCACTACCCTGGTGGGTCAGTGGCCGATGAAATCTCTGCACGAATACAAGAGGCTCGGCTGACTTTTGCAAACTTACTCACCTGTAACGCAGCTGTGATATCCGATTGTCTATTAAGGGTGGCGTGTACTACACAGCAGTCCACTCTGCTCTACTATATGGCTGCGAAACATGACCATTGAAGATGAAAGACATGAAAAGGTATTCGGTGGTGTCACCACGTGAGTAACCCAGAAGTCAGTCTCAGGAGTAGAGTTTTAGGGAGCATAGGTAGAGGTAGAGGTAAGTCAGTTGACACAGTTGTGAAAATTCATCGACTGAGATGGCTGGTTGAGATATGTGTTGCGTGTGCCTAGTCTCCGTCTGTCTCATGACACAATGTTAGCCGAAGTAGGTTCAGACTGGAGAAAGGCTCGGGGAGAGGAGCAGACTAAAACATGGTGTGAATGTATGAAGTATTTGACTGTTGGTTTGAGGCATGTGGGGCTATGCAGACTAGATGGTTGGGGTCGGTGGGGTGGGGGACAAGAGGAACCAGTGGTTGGAGACTGACTGTAGGTGAAATGATAGAATGGATGTCAGTGGTGCAGATGTATCCCCACAAACACACTATCTTCATCTTAACGACGCTATATGCCGAATCTCACTATTTTCTGATTCTTATTTTTTTATTTCTCTTTGAGTACTTTATATTTGTTTCGTCTGAGTTTTCTTCTCTTCATCTTCCATTTCACCGCTTTTTTACATGATGTATCGTCACACAATATTGAGTGAATCAATAAACACGTATCTGTAAATGAGGTAGGTAGGTAGGCAGGTGTTGAGGGAACTTTAAGGCTGTGGTGAATAAATATACTTTGTTCGATGAATGTCAACAAAACTACTCCAGTCTATCTTTTTTTCGCTTTAAACTATTCAACAGAATCGACTTTTCTGATTAGGTTGTTGATTGTGCAAGTATAAAGACTAGACATGTGTTGTATGTTGTTATTTATTGAGAAAATTCGTCACTGATATGAATTGACATGAAGTCTCAAGATGATACATATATTGTTTTTGGTTGTATTGCTTTCTGCCAACTGGGTTGTTTAGTTGTGAAGCTTTCACATTGATGTAATGGTAGTAACGCGAGTAGAACGGAGTTCACAACCTGCATTGTCTTACCTCATAAAGGAATGTATATCAGAAACTTTATGTTGCATTCTCAACAAGCCTGGAATTAGGGTGACATTTAAACTTATAAACTCACTCAGAGGTATACTTTGTCGGCTGGCTTAAGGGTCTCATCGAACCAATTAAGCAAAATAATCTAATCTATCAATTTCCATGTGAGGTCAAGTACATAGGTGAAGCTAGCCGGTCGGTGTCAGTTAGAATAGCCGAACATAAGAATGTAGTCAAACATAGAATGATATATCCGGATAAGATCAATAAACTAAAAGAGAACTCGCCTATTGCAATGGATGGATTAACACAACCACACAATTGGGTGGGTGAGATAAAACCACTGTACTCAAATCCAATAGAATTAGGTGGAGATAGAAAGAGAGAGAGAGATTGATTACTGAATGCTTGTTCATCGAATCAACCATCACCCAACACATGTAATAGAAATGACGCCACATCTATACCCGAGATATGGAAAGGAATTTTACTACTAATAGAAACAAAGAATATCAGGTGACAGGACTATAAACATCAGATATCGAAAGTGTAGTGTGATCACATTGATCTGATTATGAGCAATGGTAATTTAAGCTGGAAACGTGATCATCAAGTAGATAATACTGTGTGTGTGTGTGTGTGTGTGTGTGTGTGTGTGTGTGTGTGTGTGTGTGTGTGTGTGTGTGTGTGTGTAGTGTAGTGTAGTGTATATCAAATAAACAAATCTGATATGGAATCACTTAGTCTTAACACCAAATCATATTCATCTAATGCATTTTTATCTGCCTTGTCCATTTAAATATCTTGTAAACATGTCACTAGTAGTATACTGCCTTTATTTCTACCTAGTTTATATACTTGCTATTCGAAAGTTATTCATAGCGTTACTGCGCTTCAACATCTATTTCGTAATATTGAAACCAAAGAAAAATAAGATCCATTCAGTCTATCCATTCAAATTAACATAGGACAAGGGATTACTGCGTAACGGTCCGAGTTGCCGCCACACATCAAGTAGAAAGGTAGTGAAGTGAAAGATGAAGATAAGAAAATTCAGTCGAAAGAAATATAAAGTAAGAAAAGAGAAACAAAGGAAGAATGAGAAAATGGTGAGATTCGGTGAAGCGTTAAGATGATGATGATGACATCGGTTCTCAGCCATATGATCACTTAAAGTCAGTCTCCAACCACTGGTTCCTCTTGTCCCCCACCCCACCGACCCCAACCATCTAGTCTGCATAGCCCCACATGCCTCAAACCAACAGTCAAATACTTCATACATTCACACCATGTTTTAGTCTGCTCCTCTCCCCGAGCCTTTCTCCAGTCTGAACCTACTTCGGCTAACATTGTGTCATGAGACAGACGGAGACTAGGCACACGCAACACATATCTCAACCAGCCATCTCAGTCGATGAATTTTCACAACTGTGTCAACTGACTTACCTCTACCTCTACCTATGCTCCCTAAAACTCTACTCCTGAGACTGACTTCTGAGTTACTCATGTGGTGTTACCACGGAATACGACCTAGCCTATACTGCGAAGGCAAAACGCCTGAAGCCTTCTCACATCTTAAACTCTCAATGTCCATGTTTCACAGCCATGTATTAGAACAGAGTGGACTGATGTGCAGTATATGCCACCCTTAATAGATAATCGGATATCACGGTGGCGCCGTAGGTTGCGTAAAGTGGCAGAAACCAGTCGAGCCTTTTATATTCGTGCAGAGATTTCATCGGCCACTTGAGCCACCAGGGTAGTGCTGATCCTACTTCCAAGGTAAGTGAAGGGGCCAACACAATGACTACAGTGTCTATCGGTAGCTGAGGCACCGTTGAAGACCAATCCTGGAGCAACAATTTTCATTTGGTTGGTGAGAAACATTCTCAAATTGCCACTCAAAGTGTTCAGAAGACTCTGCATCTTGTCAGAGTTTTAACCTAAGAGGACTTTGTCATCCGCATATTCAGTAACTTTGTGCGTATTCATGCAGTAGGCAATGAGGCACATTTATGATTTGATGAAGTTTAGTGTAAGTACCTGACAACCTGAAACTTTGTAAATGTGGCTAAACTCGAACGTGTGACCCATCGGTTGGAAACTAACTACCTAAACCAATTGACCACTGTCACATCTTTATAGCATCACTTGAATGTCTCTTTGAAGTGTTTCTATTAATTTATTTGTCATTTTTTGATAGACGTAAAGCGATTCTGGCCAGTCAGAATAATCGATGTGCTGGTTGTGGAGCTTTTATCGAAACACGTGAGTTCCATTCTATTATTATACTCATATACTGTAACGTAATACAAAGTCTTGTTCAATATTCAAGAGTTAAGTACTGTAGCATTCAAGAGATAATGTTTTTAATTGTTATTCGATGTTTATTGTAAGTAGCGGTAACTTCTTCAAAACTATCGAACTCCCTTAGTTCTCGTCAGTGACATACAATCATGAAAATCTGTCAACCTCTGAGTCGAAATCAGTATCTGCTTGGACTCTTATCTCGTGGGCTTGTGTCATTTGTACTCTACTGATCACAGGAAATAGGCAATAGGGAAGCCTGTTTGTGCTCCACTTGAAGGTGAGTACGTCAAATGTGTATTTAGGGGTGAGGGGGGGGGGAGAGAGAGATAGGGAAGCATTTATCTGAACATGACAGTAGTTTTCTTCCTGATTAAACCTGGTTTGTTAATATTCCGTCTGATCTACAAACGGTAGTGAAAATAGTTGTGACAGAAACCCAGTGGATTTCATCAACCTCGTCTGAATTGATTAATGCGAGATTTACTCTAGCAGCTGAAACGCAAATTGACTAAAAGTCTTCGTAATGATCACAAGCAGTAGCTCAGCAGAGAAGATATCAGCATTAAGCAATAACTGGCAACTGTTTAAAGTTTATTAATGATACTGACAAGAAAAGGATCATGTTTGGTTAAACCGCATCACCGAAAAGGATGGGATGGTTTCAGTTCAACTGGTCTGCAGAAATGTTTCAGTTGCCCAATATTCAGCATGAATCTAAATGGGATGTAGATGTCAGTCTTCGAAGTTGACAACATTATATTGTACCTGAAATGATCCAAAGCAGCAAAACTTGACGGTTTACCACCAGAAGTTTTTAAAGAAGGGAGATAGGAGATTACTGATTAGAATAATGGAGGTACTAGATAGCGTATAGGAATCAGTAGTAGTTCTGTTAGACTGATCAGACCAGTCATTTCAATCTATAAGAAGGGAGAAAGTTTTCTTGTGATAATCATAGAAAAATCAGTTTGAATAATACCATATCGAAGATCCTTATTGTTAGGGAATTTATATCCACCCCACCCCCTTGTAAAATGGACTTTTTAGGCTTTAGTTTTATCAACTTATATTATGGGAAATCTGAATTATCGTTTTTCGTTTCATATGTACCGCTCAATTTTACTGCTTTTAAGAACGTTGTATTCTTATTGCGTTAATCTCATACTTTTATCATGCTATTTTGTTCATTTGTCCCAAGGGTGCATAAATTGTGTTTAAGAATGAGAATTATATCCCTGGATTGATTATTATTTATCCCTTGGGTTCCTAATGGAACATAGAGCTTCAGTAGCACGTCTCCAATGCACTCTGTTCTCTGAAAACTTTTGAACCTGGTTCCATGACAGCCCGGAAGCTCTCATTTTTTCTTCACATGATCTCCTCCATGTCACCCTCGGATGCCCAACTGGTCGCTTGCCATCTGGGTTCCATTCGAGTGGCTGGCCTGACGCGTGATGTCCCCAGTCGGTCTTCTCAGTGTATGCCCAATCCATCTCCACTTCCTCCCAGTGCATATTTGTTGAGCGATAGGTTGTTGGTTGGTTTATTGTCCGGCCAGAGTTCCTTGTTGCTTGCTGTTACCATTCTGGCCATCTGATCTTCAGTAACGAGCCAGCGTAGGCAGTTGTTGATGAATGTCTGTAATTTGTTGCTGGATTGATACTTTCGTACTTTCAATTGGAGTAAACCCTCTTCAGTCCAGTATTGTCAGTTGAACCGGTTGTCAAGTATCGTATCGTCCATCTAGTAAGTAAATTATGCCTCCCCATTGAAAACCGTATCCGAGAATCTAAAAACTTAAGTCCATAGTTATCGGATGCTTAATTGAGGCTCGGGACCAAAAACCTTGGAGGAAAGGAGGCAGATCTTAGACCTTGACAAAGATGCACCGATCAGATCTTTACCCTTTGACAGGTTCTGAAAAATAAGCGTACTTAGTGGTCCCAAACATTTCCCATATTTGTTGACCTGAAGGTAGTATTCGGCGTTATCAACCGGGAAGTGTTTTGACAGTATCTAACTGTGAAATGAGCATCGAGCAAGTATATAACACCATTGGATGCTCTACTTGAACGTATGCAGCCGTTTTTAATGACTTGTAGAAAGTTTTCATATGAAGTGTACGCCTGGGATACCTGCCGACATCGTTCCTGTTTAACTTTACTATAAACATCCTAGAGGGGATTACTTAGGATACCTCTGACCTTACCATGGATTGGCTTATTCCCAGGAGGGTATTTTATTTATTTGGAGTATACAGACAACAATTTCCTTTTAGACGAAGACGTTAGAAAAATGTAAGATCTTCTTAACTCTTTGGACAGAAATCTAAATGTGTTTGGTATGCGTCTTGCACCTGTTAAATGTAGGATGATACTATGCAGATAAGTTTAAAGTATAAGGATTGAAATAGTGGAATATGCTGACCACTTCAACTACCTTGTGAGTTGCATCAACTTGGACGAGTTGGTTGCTGAAAAAAATCTCAGCTAGGATACAAAGCACATGTTTGGTATTTGCCAGTTCGCATCACTTCTGGATCAATATATGAGCAATGTAAAGATTAAGCGAAGGGTACTAGGCAAACAAAGGAAGCCAGTTGTTGACGTTACCAACCTTCACTGACTAAACTGGCTTGGACATGTGTTGCACACTTTGACTCATCGCCTGTTTCGATATGCAATGCTTAGGGTAGCCAAACCAAGACATTGCATCAGTCTCTGTTTCTTGGTTTGAGCTTGGTACAGAGGTCTTTACTACCTAATTGAAGTTCTCAAGTTAATAGACACTCTTTCTCGATCCACCTGTTCTTTGTGTACTAGTGTGGTGTGTGTCAACTTGAGCCGATGGATCTATGTGCGAGCGAGGTTCTACGTTGATTTCGTTTGTCTGTACGTCTGTCCAGTCGTCATATGTGTTGGGATTAAGACCATATGTAAACACTATGTGCTTTTGCTTTTTCTGAGTTGGAATTGAACAGCCTAACCCGATAGTGCATAGACTGTTATCTGATGAAGTGCTTTCGTAGAATAAGTAGGTGTTTCTTCCGCCCCTCCACCTTCTATCTTGATTTCTGTCTGTGCATTCGTTAAAACTCCAGATGCGTGTAATTTAATTCATAGAGATTCACTCTAGTAATGTTATGACTAGTAGTACCACCTAACAGCCTATGAGTTATGTGAGCCTAGCAAACAAATTGACTCTAACACAAATTAGAACGTCAACCACCACCACCACCACAATAATACCACCGATTAGCGAAGAGAAGTAATGCTGAATACATACATTTCTAAATGACCTTGACAATACTAAATCCACATGTGGATAAAAATAGTTAGCAACCAGTAAGAATTCAGCCTTGAGAGCAGATGGAAGAAAAATGAGTAACGATATGAAAACAGGAAGCAAAAGCTATACAAAATTAATGGAATAGATAGCCAAGTAACTAAGGTAATTAAAATACATGAAAACTTAGAGAACACCAAACCACTTTGATAAATTTATCTGTTCTACCATTGATAAACATTTAATCGATTTATATCTATCCTTTCTGGTTTAGGATATCTGAAAAGAATGCGATTTTGTGAATTCTTTGGTCGTTATTTTTGTTGTGTTTGTCATTCGAATACATTGATGACTCTTCCAGGGAATTTATTAACTTCTTGGGATTTTCGTATGTTACCAGTTAGTAATTTCGCTCGTGATCGACTTCATCAGCTGCATAATGAACCTTTATTAAGAACAATCGATTTTAATAAACAAGTTTTAAATCGTCAATCTAATAATCTCTTGAATTGTATAACTCTACGTAGACAAGGGAATTTAATGTTACCTTTTATTGAACGATGTCAAGCAGGTATGTTATTAAGTATCGTTTTATAAATAAAATCTTATTCATTGTAATAGATTCTGCCTGTTTTTTTTAATTGTTCATATTTCTTACCGCATTCAAATAGGAGGAATAGGAATTTGGTTTAACTTCTATGAGGACTATAATCCAGTAATTGAATGGTTAGCCGGCTCTGTGCGCAACCTGAAGGTTCCGAGTTCGATTCCCGGCGTAGTCATGAATATGTACTACTCTGAGGAGTCCTATAGTAGAATGGAATATGTTTCTTGCCAAAAGATTTTCAATACTTATATACTTATGACATGAGTTCAAATCTCAGACAGGGACATCTATCACTGTGCACCGCTATGGTGAGCTGATTTTCAACTGATGGGTATCGATGGTATCGAGCCAGGTAGTGGTATCACTAACTCTTATAAAATAGGTGTCGTTCATAAACGTGCAAGTCGTTATGAAATGAATCCTGTTCAATTTCAATTATGTAGAATAGTGGTTTGTTGGCCTAAACACTGAACAACTTTTGGGTTCGAACTCTGTTACGTGCCTTCTTTGACTTGAGCGATCGAGTGGTTATAGTTCATAACCTGGTAAATAAATATCTATACTGGGTTGAAATGTATTAAATTACTTCTTTTTGCTGAAGATTTCTAAGTAGAAATAACTTTTGTAGTGTTGACTGACTTCAGTCATATACGTAGATGTTTATATTAACATCAATTCATGATGTTAATCCCTACTTCATTATGAAGAGATGTAGATTGCCTTGTTGAGGTTCTCCGAGATGAAAGGAAACAGCGGTTGGTTGATGACTCTTCGTGAAATGGTCAAAAATCGATGGCATAGTGATGTCTTTTATATAGTAGTGTGAAGTGTATCAACTTGAACCGATCCATTTGTGTGTGTACTAAGCAAGATAGACAAGTTGATTGATGAAGCTGTAAACCTTAGTCGATTGAGATGGTTTGGATGTGTGCTGCGCATACTGAATCATTGCCTACCTCAACATGTTATTCTGGGGGGAGGGGTGTGTGTGGCAGTTGGATTAAGTTTGAAGAGGTTCTAGGGTGGCCAGATTACACATGACACTAGTCAATAAAGTCTCTTATTCTAGACTGTGTGGTTAGAGTTGCGAAAATGAAAAGACTCTTCGTGAATATTTGTATTAACTGTTATCTTCAGACTTTTCATTGTCTTATACAACTTTGTTATCACTCTTTTTAATATCCATCTGTTCGAAAGAGGTTCTACATTAATTTTGATAGTCAAGCAAGATAATCTACTCATATCACTTATATCAGTAGTGATAGTTGGTTTGTCATTTTTAATTCATAAAATATACTTCCTTATTATTATTATTTAGAAGTAGTATTCATCATGGACTGACATTAGTTGAGGAACCATTGAAAATCTGGAAGCACTAGACAGCTGTTTCGTCCAACTAGTATGTGACTCCTCAGCAGTACGCACCCACGACCCGGTTAAGGGTCGAAAACAAGACCTTCAGGTTTCACGGTGAACGCGTGGTTCACAATTTTCAACTTCTGTGTCAATTCACCACATAGCGCAACTATCACCCAAGGTCTTCAGTTAGCATTCGTTTCACTTCCGACTAGTTGACCTCACAGATCACGGCTTGTCATTAGACCGTACTGTTGAGGAGTTACATACTACTAGTTGGACGAAACAGCTATTCAATGCTGCCAAATTTTCAATGGTTCCCCAACTGACGTCAGTTCATGATGAATACTACCTTTAAATTTAAAAAATCCCCATTCATCTAAAAAATATATTATTATTATTATTATTGTTTTCAGCTCAACAGTTGATAGATTTTCAATCTATACCAAATCATTGGTTTAAAACACCAGATTTATGGAGTATGGCTGATTTACATACTGTACATAATGGGAAATTATCAATAATCTTACGTAATATATTATTACCAATTGTAGAGCATATATCATTATGTGAACGATGTTTAGCTCAAGGATTTATTTGTGAAATATGTAAATCTGGTCAAATTCTATTTCCATTCGGTCAAATAAATACAATTATATGTTCAAATTGTTCAGCTTGTTTTCATCGAACATGTTTAAATAATATACCGAAACTAGAAACATGTCCTAGATGTATTCGACGTGCAATTAAACGAGAACAAATAACAATAAAATAGGTTGTAAAGTTTCTCTTTCATTTTTCAAAGGATTCTCTTCTTTCTTATCTACTGTAATCTATCTTCGGTACCATCTTTTCATTCTATTCTACTATTCTTAACGATTATCATATCATCAATTACAATTGATGTCTATTTATCTAGTACTACTAAATTCTTATTATTTATCATAAAATATTCATTATTGTGTACAGAAGAAATTCAATGAATGAATGAATGAATATGTAAATTATTGATTTGTAATTATATTAAGATTTTTCTAAATAGAATTTTGTAAGGTTTTGTGGAGATTTAGAGAGAGATATTTCAAGTTGGTATTCATTGTAGACTAACATCAGTTGAAGGGACAGTGGAAACCTGAGAGCTGTATTCTTCTGGTATGGGACTCCTCTGCACTACGCACACATAACCTTGCCAGGTGTCGAACCCGCGACCTTCAGGTTTCGTGATGAACACGTTACCATTAAGCAACCTCCCCTCACCCCTCCTCCCGAATTCAGCTGAACTAGTGCTCATTGATGACTACTCTTAACAGGTGATTCCCGAAGTCCTAATCAGAAGACGTGACCAGCACGGCAAACCTAGTGACTGTGAGAACAGATACTCAACGATGACTCTATATCGCGAACTGACAGAAGTTGGAAATATGGATCTGTGCATTCCGACCCAGCAGCTCAATGGTAAGGTAAGGTGGTGAGTTCGACACTTGTCGAGGAGCGGACATGGGTGCGCACTGCTAAACAATCTCATACTGGGACGAAACAACTGTCCAGTTAGTGCACCCGGGTTCTCATTCTTCCTCTAACTCATCTCAGTCTACAATGAATACCAACTTGAAATATCTTTATAAATAATTTTTGTTTGTTTACCACCATCGAATTCGATACACTCACCTAAATGTCAATTACTTCTTACAAAGATATTGTATTGATCTTGGTGACTAGCAGAGGGATCCAGGATGCGCGTTTCGTGATAGTTAGGACTGGTCAGCTGGATGTACCTGCTCTAACCCAGTCCTCATCACTTCAAACACCAGAGCGTTATTCCACTAAACCACCTCTTATACAATGGGTATCAGTAGTTGTTGTTGCTGTTGTCGCTGTTATGATACTTGTCACCAAGATCAATATAACATGGATAATCAGTAGTATTGAGGCAGCTGTGTAGGAGCTCTTCGCCGGTGTACACCAACGTGAAATCACAAGTATCATTACTTTGACAAAGATACTTCACTGGTATATATGTATGTATAATCATGTGTGTATGCTAATTTCAGAGTATACCTTAGTTACATTTATGTATGTTTGTATGATTTATCGAAAAGAAAATTTATTTGGTTTTTATTCTTTTGTTTTCAATCTGTGGCTCATATTGGTGTCTAAGCCTATTTCACTTACAATTTATGCATGATGCATTCGGACTTCACTCGACTTACCGAAGTCTAGATGGTGTCATTAGCCACCCCACCCCACCCCACCCCCTTGCCTCCACACACACACACAATAGATAAGAATGATTGTTTGCCTACTACACGACCATACTCATGGGTTCTGAGGGCATTTCAACTTGTCACTGGCGTCACTTTCATGGTTTCTGCTATTCCTCGTAGACTTTTTATTCAATGAATATATTTGTCCAACAGAAAAAAGCCAATTTTTTCCTTCGCAATCTCAATATGAAGTGATATTGTGTATGTGAGTTTTCACTGTGAAGTCTTGACGATGTTGCATTCACCAAATATGACAGTGTAATCATGAAACTTTAATTGTCTCTTTCTACACAATATATTCAATATTCAATTAATAGGAAATCGGCACTGAGAAATCCTCCGTACAAAATAAATATGATGATACTAAGAAGACGTGGTACAAGTTGTTATTAAAAGAGGATTGCACCAACAGTATAGAAAGGGGGTTAATTAACAATCTGTTTCAAAGATGTATTCAATGAAGTCATCATCACTCTTTTGATATTTGTGTTTCCCAATGACAATGTACAACTAAACAAGTTTGTTTCAACTGATGTTTCACTATTCCGTGCTGCTAATAGCTTCATCAAGCTTATAGAAAATCGGAATTTACACTGTCTCCCAACCTTATATATGATAACTAGACAAGTATTCTTCTGTATGAATGATTCTGCGTTGTTACGACTGTAGAATACAAAATGATATCCATATGTAGTGTATTGTGTGTGTGTGTGTGTGTGTGAAAAGAGTGTTTGAATTACAGACTGAGATTTCGAATTGTTATTCATCGTAGACTGACACCAGTTGGAGGAACAAAGGAAAGCTGGGAGCACTGGACAGTTGTTTCCTCCGACCAGCATGAGGCTCCTCAGCAGTGCGCACCCACGACCCCGCAACACCAGGGGTCGAACTTGCGACCTTCAGGTTCCGCGGCCAGCTCGTTACCATTGAGCTAGCCACTGGGTCAGAATCCAATGCTCCATATTTCCAACTTCTGTTAGCTCACCATATAGCGCAACCGTCACCTAATGTCATCTTTGAGTAACTATCCTCACGACAATCAGGCTTTGACTTCACCGGTCGCCACTTCTCAATGGTAACGCGCTAGCCGTGGATACTGTAGGTCGCGGGTTCGATCCCTGGTGGTGCGGGGTCGTATGTGCGCACTGCTGAGGAGTCCCATACTAGTCAGACGAAACAACTCTCCAGTGCTCCCAGGTTTCCTTTGTTCCTCCAACTGATGTCAGTCTACGATGAATAACAACTTGAAATATTTTCAAATCTCCACAACTCCCTTAAAAAAAAAGAAATAGTTATGTAGGCGAACAGCCCAACGTCTCCAAATTGGCTGGTATGAGGTGATTGCCTACAAGATCAACCTGCACACTGTAACTCGGGATCTGCATTGAGCGTTTTCCTCAGTTAGTTAATCATACGAGCCAACAGAGGCTATGGCCTGAGCATCGATCAAACTGTTTAGACAGAGATTGAACACAGTCGATACACTATTCTTAATAGGTGTACAAGCCACCGAAGCCTATGTTTCAAGATGACTTCATCTAATAAATAAGGATTTTCATCACAGTAAAATGCGCAGCATCTCATTTCAGAATTCCTTACATAATGTTCCCAGCGTATGACAGCATCTCTATGATGATATTGGTGTTCAAACACGCAGATTTGCTGGGCATCCTCCACTTGGAGAGGTCAGGTTATACAGACTTAGGTAAACAAGCTTTTCAGCCACTTTCAATATTTTACCACCAAGGGTGTGTATGGGCTCCTTCTAATCATGCTTATGGGCATTGACTGCTAATTAAGTACGATTTGAGCAGCTTGTATTTTGTCACACGATAAAACATTGTCGTCAGCATATTCGCCATCAAAAAGTTTTCCTTATGATAGTAGATATGCACCACATTCACAGCTGTCTGGAGAATGCCATCCATGGCAAAGTTAAAGTGAAATGGTGAAATCAGGGAACCCTGTTTTACCTCATGGGTGGTTCGGAACAATGGGGATAACTGGCTGTGTAGCCTCACTTTACCTGAGGTGTTGAAGTATAGATCTCCCAAGATGTTAACATTCTGTGTTACATCCATCTTTAACAGATATTTCCAGAATTCAGTTCCGTCTAACGAATCGAAGACAGTCCTAATATCAACAAACGCAATAATTGTTGGCCTGCTATGTGTGTGAGTGTCTATCTGAAAGTTAACACATCACTAATGCATTGATAACCAGAACGGAACCTAGCCTCTTTCTAAAGGATTAGTTTTTCACGCGTTCTACAAAGCCAACAAAGCTTGAAGTCAGCCAATATTTCAGACGCTACTGGTAACAAACTGATCCCCCCAATGATTTCCATAGATGTTAAGTGAACCGTTTCCAAAGATGCTTATAGTAATTGCCTAATTCCAGAATTATGGAACATTGTCAATCTTCCATACCTTCTGAAACAACGTAATCACTTCCATCATCATAAGGAGCCGAAATTAAATGGTTTGGGCTGGGAGCCTAATACGTTAGATTGATAGGTGAATTGATGTTAACTGACCATGTATCATAGAACACTGAATTTTATGTTACTTGGAGGGTAAGTAGACCAGTTAAATTGTTTTCTAAGGTGATCCACCTTGTGTTCGAGGTATCTGTCTCCGCTGCACCTAATACAGCCTAAACAATAGGGTAGTATCATAGGCACTCATTTAATAAGTGTAGTTCGTAACCAAGCATAACGTATCGAGTTGAGTTGCATTATTTCATTATTATTACCAAGGTTATGTGGATCAACAAGTCATCTATTCACAGACCACCTCACATACACCAAGTTTCTTCCTGTCATTGATTCAGATGACCTAGAACATCTCGTTATTGTCACGTTTACGGGGCATTCTTCATAGCTGGAAGTGGCTCTACACGATGTTTTATAGTATGTTTTAAGTAAAAGCAATGACCATCCATGGTTTCTGGGTGTTGGACAGCTGGCTTTGAATCTGATACAAGTTGAATTTAGCTCACATTAAAACGTGGTCAGAATCCAAACAGGTTCTCCAGAAGGAGTCGTAGTCTTGAATATATTCACGCTACCGATAGCGGTATTGTATTTTGATCTATCTGTGTCTAGGATTGAGTGGCAGAGATAAGAAGGAGTGTGGCGTAACGGTGATGGCTATAGTAAAAGTTGTTATTGGCTAGAAACTGGTTATGATCTGCTCACAGCTGCAGAAGACGACCCTACTTATCCAATTTGTGACCAAATAATCCTCATTGGTCACTAAAAGATCATCCTTTGGGCCTAGACGTCCAACCTATGCATTCAACTACCAAGCTAGTAGTAGAACATATGAGCGAGCTTGATTCAGAGGATTGTTCGATTGGTGGTTAGACACCACAACTGTATGTGGCCTACAGAAATTTCCAGCATAGATAGAGATGACGAAGGGAGATCGTTTCCTCCCCCAGTTACTTGTTATTCTAGTTGAAACCTTAGTCTAACAACACAGATCACTATTGATGAGGATCCAGTCGACTTATGCAACTTCTGCTTTAGGGCTTACTGTAACACTATTACCAGCTATGCTAGCTGATGACGTCACAAGATCTCATGATAAGTGACCAGTAAGCACACTATTTGAGCTGACGGAAACGAAAGTCACCGGAAACACTACACTGTCTCAGAAGTATAGTGTACATCAACAGCTAGGCTTTTCGGAGCCGTGGTCGAATATATCTGTTGTCCGATCTGAAACAAAGCCCGAACGTTGAGTGATGTATATGGTCCCAGAATTGTTTTGTTCAGTTATTACACTGTGAAGAGTCTAGGATTTTCATTAATGATAAGCAGCTTAGTGAAGTAAGA